GTTTAGGGGTTAGGTTTAAGGTTTAGGGTTTCTGGTTTAGGGATTAGGGTTTAAGGCTCCTTTAAGGGTTCCGTTTTGGGTTGCTTAAGGTTTGGGGTGTAGGGCAAGTTGAAGCCTTTTAAGGAGTTTGAGTTACTTTTAGGGTTCTGTTTAGCGCTCCGTAAGGGGTCCATAAGAGGAGTTTAGTGTTGAGTCCTTGGCTCCCTTTAATCAGCAGGATCCATAAAGGGCTCCGTTTACGTAGTCAGGATCTATAAGCCTTCTATAGAGGGTCGTTAGGTTCCGTTTAGGATACCCTGTTTTGTTTGTAAAGGGTTCCGTTTAGGGGTCCTATCAAGAAGGAACCGAGCTTTAGAATTCTGCTTAGGGATCCTTTTCATCTATAAACGGTTCAGTTTAGGGTTCCGTGTAGGGTTGCGGGTTTAAGGTTCGGTAAGGATTTTGAGTATCAGGGCTCCGGGTTCCGTTCAGGGGGCCTGTAAGGGACCGAAAGACCCTTTATAGAATGCTTATAGATTCCTTGTGGGGCTTAGAGAGGGGATCTATGAAGGTTTTTCAAGGAGTCTATAGTGGGTTCCGTTTAGGGTTTAGGGTTTCGGTGATATAGGCTTTTTGAAGGTTTCGGGTTTACGGCGTCGAGCTTCGCTTTCTTTAAAGAGGTTCTACAAGAGTGTAGGGTGTAGTAGGGCCTTTAGCGTTTAGGGTTTGGGTGCAGGGCTTAGGAATTCGTGCTACTTCTTTGATTTTGATGTTTGGCTTTTTGCTTCGAAAATTGTTGGTGGGAGTTTTGGGTTTCTGAAGGACTTTCTCTTAAACCTAAGCTCCAAACCCCGAGCGGCAAACCCCGAGACCTTACAGTACATTCCGGAAGCAAGCACCCAATACTCAACCCTCCAAGCCCTAGCAAACCCCAGGGAAGTATTTGGTTCCGGGCCCTGTCGAGATCACCATCAGGCCGTGATAAAGACTCTCTGAACCCTGCAAGACCCCTGGAACACCCTAGAGGAATTCACACAAAATCCTGCAAGAACCCTACTTGGAGGTTCATGGGTGGTTATAAGTATGATAACTACAAGTATAAGTCATATGAGGGGACTTATGACCCCATTTATAACTACCCATGAGCCTCCACGTAGAAGACACCACATTCCTAAGCCCCGAGCTGACAGTAATCCTTAAGAAACCCTGCAAAGACACCCGTTGAAGAAACCCTATTCTGATGATTAAGGCCCCTTACACTAAAACAATACAGAAACCCTTTAATGAACACCCTTGAAAAATAACCTGCTATCGTAACTCTTTAACTTTAAAGCAACCGCTAAAGGAAACAAGTAAAGGAAAGATGAACGCAACCCCACTCCAATTCGGAAGCCCCCTATATGAACACCGTCTAAGCCCTACAGAGGCCTTTACAGGAACCATGACTAAAATGTCAGGAAACACTATTCTGATTGTCAAGGCCCCTATATCCTGAACCCTTAACCACAACTTGACCCTGCACACCCCAAACCCTAAACTAAAACCACAAACTGAAGCCGTAAACTGAAACCCTAAACTACACCCTACACTCAGCCCCGAAACTAAAACTAAAACCCGAAACTAAAACCCTAAACTGAAACCCTAAACTAAAGGCCTAAACTGAAACCCTAAACTGAAATACTAAACTAAAACCCTAAACCCTAAATCCTAAGCCCGAAAAAGAAACCACACATGAACCCTAAACTAGAACCCTAAACCCTAAATCCGAAACCCTAAACTGAAAGCCTGAAAGCACTTGCTTTGATTTTTCTGCTCAGAGCCCCAGTGGCTGCGACAGGCGATGACGACCCGTAGGCCGGCTTCCTGTTGGAACTTCCGCTTCTGTACTTGGAGCATCATGGGACTTAGGGTTCCTTAAAGGGCTGCTTAAAGGGTTTAGGTTTAGGGATCTATAATATGAGGGATAGTTTAGGTTACTTAAAGGCTCATGGGACTTAGTAAGTAAGGTTATAAGTAGGTTATAATTAGGATAACCCCACTTAGGGGACTTATAACCCCCATTATAACCTACATACTAAGTCCCATGATCCTCTAAGTATCTGTGCTTAGAGGTTCAGGGGTACTGATAAGGGTTCCTGTTAAGGCTCCCTTTAAAGGGGTCACTAGGGATTCTATAAGGGTATAGGGGCTATAGGGCCTACTTAGAGGTTCATGGGTAGTTGTAAGTGGAGTCATAAGTAGGGTAACTAGAGTTATAACTTATAACTCCTATTAGGGGGCTTGTGGAACTCCAATGGAGACTGTGGGTCGTGTAACATGAAAACAGGGATGTCATGTGATGTCATCATTCACATAATGTAGTAGAATGTAAATGTAGCATGATGTAGCATAATTAGAATAGTAGAGTATAGTCTAGTAAGGTGTAGTATTGTAGATTAACCCCTTACCCTTCTATAAAACCCCCCCCCCCCCCCCAATAATAAAGACCCCTTGGGGCGACTCCTCGCGAAATCATCCCTGCGCTTTAACATCTGTTCTGAGTTAGGGGGAGGGTTTCGACGCTCCGAATACCCTCAGAGCCAGCAAGAGCGAGAGTAGCAGCAAGAGCAAGAGCAGGAGTTTCAGCAAGAGCAGGAGCAGTGCAAAAGCGGGAGCATCTGCAAGAGCAGCAGCAAGAGCAAAGCAAAAGCAAGAGCGGGAGTAAGAGCAAGAGCAGGAGCAAAAGCGGGAGCAACAAGAGACGCAGCAGAAGCAGGACCAAAAGCCAGCGCAGGAGCAAGAGCCAGAGCAGGAGCAAGACCCCTCAAAAGTGGCAGTAGAGATACAACCACACCCGCATATTAAAATCAGAATTTCTAATGGTAGGATACCCTATAATTTACCATAAAGGGAATATGCTAATGATATTCCAACTTTCTGGCTTCTACTGTACGGCTCCGGGATATATGTAAGGCTGCAATCAGACCTAGAATTTGCAGGAGCTAGAACTGCCAGGTCTCGAATCTGAAATAGTATAGTAGGATCCTTTAAAGGGTTCCTTAAAGGGATCTATAAGGGTTCTATAAAGGGTTTAGGGTTTAGAGTTTCCGAAAATAGGGGACCCAAATATAGTACCCTAACTAGTAGGATCCTTACTATAAGGACCCCCCAAATAAGGTACCCCTGATTTTCGGAAACTCCCACATAAGCTGGACACCCCACCCAGGCTCTGAGTAAAGTGCTTTCCTATGCAATCATAAGACTTCCTGTGCCCAACCCAGAGAGCCCAATACCCCTTAATTTAATAAGCCTGGAAGTAAGGGCCTAGTATCTCTATATTATCAATATTATCCAACTGTTAGGGCTTCGGAACCCCAGAGAGCCCAATACCCCTTAATTAATGAATATACCTTGAATCATAATATTAAGGCCCCTATAGTTTAAGGTATATTCCTTAATTAAGGGGTATTGGGCTCTCTGGGAAGAGCCGGCTCCGATGTAGGGGGGAAGGTTTTTGAATGGGGCTTTGGGGGCTTACTGTAAGAGTACAGTGAGCACATGGGGACTATGAGCCAACCGGGACTTTCTGAACCGGAGCTTCTTAAAGGGAACTTCAGAAAGTTGGAATATGGAATAATGGCAGGATCCCCTATAATTTACCTTAAAGGGAATATGCTAATGATATTCCAACTTTCTGGCTTCTTGTCCTAATTGGGTTATGCTAGGTGCAATAATGTCAATCAGAGGGGGTGTTTAGCACAAAATCGACCTCGACCCTGAAGAACTTAATTTTTCGGGCCCCTTCTTCGTATGATTTCCTTAAACGAAGCCCTAAACAAGGTAGCTTCTTTTAGGGTCCAGGTAGTTACTATAACTCCCCTGCTCAGTCAAGTAGAGGGCTAGGATGCCGGAGGGGCTGCTTCGGGATCAAGGGACTCTATATGGGGGTTTCCGAAAATAGGGGACCCTAATATGGTACCCTAAATATTAGGATCCTTATTATATGGACCCCTAAATAAGGTACCCCTAATTTCGGAAACTCCCATATGGCGATTGTTGGGGGTTCAACGGGGACTCAAGGTCGTATGAGAATGTGGTTGAGGCAGCTTCGTACTTGGAGGGTCAGGGGACTTAGTAACTGGTTCATTTTAGGGACTTATAAGTACCATAACCCCAATTAGGGTCCCTTTTAGGGTACTTATAAGTCTACTTACTGCCTACTTACTAAGTCCCCCGACCCTCCGAGTAAGGATGAGAAGCTGCATTGATATGCTGACCCATGCTTGATCTCCTCAGTCGGTCCGCTGATCTCTCGGGGGAGGTGCGCTGTGTCCGTCTGAGTGCTTTGACTCAAGATTTCTACGACTGAAGAACTACCACGGCTGGGGTCAGGACCTGGGAAATGGTGATGATTCGAAGTGACCTAGTAACCTATTCACCCTACTCGCTTACTTTCCTACTTACTTGCTTCCTTACTTGCTTATTTTATTTGCTTACATGCTTAGCTTACTTGCTTGCTTATTTACTTGTCAAATTGCATACATGCTTGCTTGCTTGCCTTCTTGCCTCCTTGCCTTCTGCAAGACTGGAGCTTGTGGCATATTGCAGTATAGGCAGAACAACGAGCCCTAAGAGATCATACTGCTAAGTATTCCGGCTTCTATAATGACCGACTCGCAGAATCGCTCTCCTCTTCAACAACTGGGTCCCCAAAACTTCAAGCTTTCTAACATAGAGCTTATATATGTTAATATATACAGTAAGGCCAAAAAGTTGAAAGTTCTCCCATTCGCTATCTAAGCTTTTCGAAAAACAAGGCCAGAGACTGATGATCCGAGCCAAACGTCTCTACGGAAGCCGAAACCGAAGCCAGGCTGAGGTTCCGAGTTTAGACCGTCATGTGCCGGCTTCTTGATAACAGCCAGGTTCATGGATAGTTATAAGAATGGCTATAAGACCCCTAGTAAGAGTTAGGGTTATTTATGGGCACCCTACTCTTAACTCCATAACCTGCCCCCCCCCAAAACCATTACACCCAGCCATTACCAGCTGGATTCCCGTTCGTGCTCGAAGAAAGCACCCGTGGGCCCTTGTGCGCTCAGGAGTGCTGCCGTGGTCGCCGTGCGTGCACCGACCTTCTGTGGGGTGTGGGCTCAGAACTTGACTGGAGCCCTCGCGCTTTAATGGACCTGTATGAACAAAAGTACGTGAACCATAAAAAATTAACAGACCACATATGTAGAAGTTCAAACTTTAAACCTTGTACATACCTGGGGACCGAAACACACACGCACACATGGATGAAGGTATACATTTATGCAGGTATGAATGCATGTATGTATGTATGCATACCCCAATTCCTAGCAAACTTCTCAGGGCCTGTATGTTATCATAGGGACCCTAAGGGGGATAGGGGGAGGGCGTAGGGGACTATACTTCCTCATTAGGGGTATTAAGGCCCTCCCCTACCCCTCTAAGGGTCGCTATGATGTTATGAGAGAGGCAAGGCATAGTCTTCCAGAGGCGAGCAGGCAAAACGAGTGCAGCCAGGGTCACAAGGCCTAACTTGGAGGTTCATGGGTAGTTATAAGTGTGGTCATAAGCAGGGTAACTATAGCTTAAAAGCCCTATTAGGGGACGTATAGCCATACTTATAATAACTACCCATGAACCTCCAAGTACACCCTAATTACCTGGATCTCGGAAAACCTACCCGTCTAATGATGTATACAAGGAAATCATAATAAGGGGCCGCAAACGTAGGTTCTTCGGGGTCCAGGTACACCCCGTTCTTGGGGAGATGTATCACGCACAAATATATAAGCCAACAAATCCAAGAAAAGCAGATTATGCCAGCAGAACTCCTAAAAAGCGTACCCAGGCCCAGAACCCCAAACCCTAAACCCTTCTCCCTCAACGTTTGGGGTTCTACTTGGAGGTTCAGGATTATAAGGGCTCCTTCAAAGGGATCTATAGGTATTCTATGTGGGTATAGGGGTTTAGGGTTTAGGGTACGTAGTTATAAGTAGGGTTATAAGTGCCCTAATGGGGCTTCTAGCTATAAAAACACTACTTATAACCCCAGGTATAACTACCCATGAACCTCCAAGTAGGCCCTAAACCCTAAACCTTTATAGAATCCCCATAGTTCCCTTTAAAAGGGACCCTTAAAGGCACCCTTATATCTACCCATGAACCCCCAAGTAGGTGTGGGAGGCCTCTGATTGATAATATAAATACTGCACTACCCATAATCAGGAATATACCATAATTCCCATAGTTTAGGGTCCTTAAGGTAATGCAGGATTTATATCATCAACAGTAGTTCTGGCAAGCGTCGCCCCTAAACCCAGGATTATATAGAATACCTACCCAGCTACTAAGAGACTAAACTAGGATGCCCAGTAACCTAGGAATGAAAAGGGCTCCCTCTTTGGTATTGGGTAATTGTATAAGGAACCTAGGATTACTAAAAGGGAATAACGGTACTACTGGGCATCCTCGTAAGAGACTATCCCAAGCCTCTGGGCTCTGCCCACCGCGGTTCGACGACCTCGGGCTCAAGAAGCCAAGGTCTCACTCGGAGTTGTTGGGCTTTGGCTTCATAGGGCCCCAACAGAGCACGTAAGCAAAACTGAGGGTAGGGATATCCCATATAGACCCCCTTATAATAAAGCCCAAATAAAGTAAGGATATCACCAACAACAAATGCTTATGTTTATCATGTCCTTTTTGGGTCCCTAACTTCAGGGCTGTAGAGTTTGTGACCCAGGACCTCCACGGGGTTGGGTTCAAGGTTCGGGATTTACGGGTTGGGTGTGGGATGGTGGGGTAAAACATGCTGGGAAGGAACTAAGGTTTGTAGAGTTTTGTGGGACATTGTTGCGGAGTCGGGGGTAAATCCTAAACTCTAAGCATATGGTTACCTGTGTAGATTGCAAATCAGGGCCTTCGAATGCTACGAAAACGACATAGGGTCGGGTATCTAGAAGGGCTTTAGGTTCCGGGCTTGCCACCCAAACGATACCTGTTGTGCCTGCACACGAAGCTTCCGACCCATGCTAAAAAACCGAAAGCCGAAACTGAACGCCCTGACCCAGAAAGAATGTGTAATCGTCTCAAAGCCTTTGAACCCCGATGCTGTGAAATTCAGAAACCGTGATGGTGTTTCTTAATGTTAGGGTTGCGGACGACTTAAGGCTTCTGTGTTCAAGGCTTTTTGGGACCTGTTTTGCCAGGCTGCATGTCTGTACGGCAGTAGCCCGGGCAGATGGCGTTGATCCGCATGGCTGAGCCCTCCTGGAAGAACGTTACAAGTACACAACCGGTACCAAAGGTGTATGATTTCGGGTTCACTTTACCGTGGCTCAACAATGACTATATGGGAGTTTCAGAAAACAGGGGCACGTCTCGTACTTCGGATCTTGTCAGGAGGGAGCCGGCTATAAGTGTCTAGTATTCAAGGCCGCAGATTGGGGTCGGGTCCCTTATTCTCGGAAGCTCTCATATACTTCATAGTGCAGGTTCCAAGCTGCATGTGCTGGTCGGGGCCAACTCACCGACCCAAACCCGAATGTTGCGCTACTGGTGTCAACTTGCAGCCATGACACGATTCGTGCAGCCACTACTGCAACGGTCCTTGTCCTTATTGACCTTCTTATTGTCGTCGAGACAACCGTGCTAAAGTGGTTAAACTGGCGAGTACTCTCGATAAAACTCAACATGTCATGCTGGCATAACTGATATTTTCGAGCACGCAGGAACTTTGTAGTTAAAACTTAACTGTCACTTGTTGAGGGCTTAGGGTTTACGGCAGCCAACAGAATCTTTCTGCCTCGACAAAAGAAGGCGCTCTTGCCTGGGACTGGCTGAGACGGGCACCCAATGCCAAAAACGTCTGCTTTTGTCAGGATATGTGTACGGAAACCAAAAGAAACCATCATACTACAGCCCTAGGAAGGCCCCAAACCCAAACCCCCTCCACCCCCCCGCCCGCCTCCAACAACGAAGCCTGAAAGCCTTGAAAGATATAGGGGATTCAGGAAGTACTGGGCCCTAGTGTAAGCCCTAGCTGTTTTCATACAAACACCACTACACAAACGTCCCCGGATTTCTGAAACCCATCCCCTAAACCCTAAGTTCAAAACCCTAAATCAAAATCCGACTACCCTAAACCCTCAACCTAAGCCTGAACTCGCTCCTCTCGCGCCAGCATCTTCGTATACGCGATTACTGCCAGCTTCGACCTCATGGGGGTTTCGACAGACCAAAAGCTAGGCTCACAAATAAACAAGAATAAGCAAACATCTATGTGGGAGTTTCCGAAAATAGGGGACCCAAATATAGTACTCTAAAATGTAGGATCCTTATTACAAGGACCCCCAAAACAAGGTGGCCCTAATCTTCGGAAACTCCCATGTAGGTCCTGTGGATATGCATATGTGCGCATGGGCTAAGGCTGTGAGCGTAAGCATCAGGGATGCAGGCAAGACTAGTCATCGGAATGCATAATTCGCGTGAGTTCGTCGCTCACACGAGCGAGGACGAGGTAAACAAAACTGTCGACACCCACTTAAGTTTACTATTTGATCACCGCTGAAGTGCCATAATAACAATAAGTATACAATTGATGGCCAGCAATCGCGTGATTGTTAACCCTAAACCCCAAAATGCATCTGCCAGGCACATGATGCCCTAAGTTAGGGACCAGCAAAAGACATACGCACAGGCATTTTAGAGAGACGTCCTTATCTTTGCTTATGTGCTGTGTTGGGGCCCTATAAGCCTATAAGTATCTACGAAGGCTGAAAGCCCGGCACAGATTCCTGTCACAACCACCGAAATTCCACATCCAGAACAAACCCTCCACCCTAAACCAAGCTCAGGTCAGGGCATGCCGTAGTTAGAGCTTCCCCAGCCCTGCTCCCGATGCTTCCCGGACTGCACCGCGGCCACGAAACTCTGCACCAGCGCGACGAGCCTGAAGGATGAGAGGCTCTGTTGGTCTGAAAATATACCAAAAGCACCCTACTTGTCGGGTATCATGGGGAACTGAACTAAAGGTTAACCTTTTTGGTTCTATAGGGATTACATAGAGACTATACTACCCAAAAAAGGGTTTAAGGTTACCTACCCGACTACTTGGGCACTCACTAAGAATAACACCCTCTTTTCTTATAACCTGTTCAACATTATGGTGTAACATGCCCCGTAACCCTGCTCTAATCATTAGACTCCTATGTCAGATGAGGCCCTAATCCAGGAGAAGGAGTTAGCAGGCTTACACACTTCATCCTAAGAATTTGGCTGTAGGCTCAACTCCAGCCCTTGCAAGGCCTGCGACCCCACGCAGCGACCCTAAAGCCCTTCAGAAATCATGAACCAAATAACACCTAAAAAACCCATACCGACTGGCACCCACACAATCGGAGCCAATCGCACAACGGAATCAGTTTAAGCGGATCACATCCACCACGTCCTCCTGCGGTGCATCTTCGGCAGCCTCTTGCTTAAGCAGATCATAGCGGATCGGTGCCTCTCGGACGGCCAAACAAGGGCGGCAGCCTTCGCGCTCCGAGCTTTGCGGAAAGCCGCAAGCAATAGCAGACGATGCAAGCTTCCGTGCCAAGCGCTCTTTGTAACAACGAAACCTGCGCCCGTGCTTGGTAAGCCAAAGTTGCGCGCATCGCCTAGTGAACGGCGTCATGCGCAGACCCTAAATCGTAAACTGTAAAACCCTAAACCCCAAACCCCACTAATTACCCGAAAGCTAACAAATCCAAAGGCCCGCCAAGTCCTAAACCGTAAGAACTCCAAAGCTCTGCTGCAAAACCCTCAACACCGAAAGCTCTAACGATTTAAACCCCAAAGGCGCTGAGAACCTTAGAGCCCCGAACACTTGTAGTGTCCTTAAGGGAGGGGGGTCCAAGGGGGGGTATATAGCCCAGTGATCCCTAATTCTCCCTAGTACTCCCTAAGGTTCCCTTACAGTCCTCTAAGGATTCCTTATACCCTCCCCCCTTGAACCACCCTCCCTTAAGGATCCTACAAAACACCCTAAGCCCAAAACCCTGCAGCCCATTACTCTAAACCTCCAAAAACCCCAAATTTGCCCGAAGCCTTAGACGCTTTAACTACAAACCTGAGACCCTAAACCCCTACAAACTCCAAAGCCCTAAACCCTGAAGAGCCCCGAACCCCTAAAACCCTAACAAATGTTTACGGCTTATAAGGCCTATAGGGTTGAGGGTTAAAGCTCTAAACTTTAAAGCCCAACCCGAAGGGTCCATGTACCCAAAAAGTATATACATTGGCCCCAATGTACCTATATAGGGACGACTTTAAGGCCAATATATGTACTATAGGTACATGGAGCCTTAGGGCAAAGGCCCCAAAACCGCGTCAAGCCCGGTCCTGGGACGGTCTAACATCGGCGAAGCAAACTCCGACTGTAAAGCCGGGCCTCGGCTAAGGGAGTGTTGCAGGTTCAGAGTTTCGGGTTTAAGGTTTAGGGATTAGGGCTTGGGGTTTAGGGTTTAGGGTTTGGGGTTTAAGGTTTAGGGTTTATAAGGGTTTAGGATTTAGGGTTTAGGGTTTAGGGTTTGGGGTTTAAGGTTTAGGGTTTAGGGTTTAAGGTTTAGGGATTAGGGTTTGGGGTTTAGGGTGTCTCGCCGCGCAGCGGCTGTATTTTCTATGTAGGATGGCGCCCCAACACTCCCAGGGGTGTGGGGGGGGGGGGGCGGCATATCTACGTCTAGCGTTCGAATGCGATTCCACCTGTGAGAGTTCACAGGCTACCACCCAAAATATTGCCTTTTAGGGTTTAAGGCTTACGCTCTCAATTCCCACCTGCCCCTGGTCTGTCTGTTGGGGCCAGGAAGGCCGCACCAGGGCAGGAGAGGCTACACACGCCAAAACAGAGGGTCAGGTGGCCAGGGTCAGGCCAGGAGGGGCAAGGGGGGCCAGGGCGGGCCAGGGGGGGGGGGCGAGAATTCCACCACTCTTTAATGCCTCAACGCTTGTCCATCCAGAGTTGGTGTCCGTCACTGCCGGATTTCCTTCTGGGTCCAGGCACCCTAAGAAAAAGGTACGGCCTAAGCAGGCCTGGGTGGGATTTTAGGATTTAGGGTTTAGGGTTTAGGGTTTGCGGTTTAGGGTTTAGGATTTAGGGTTTAGGGTTTAGGGTTTGGGGTTTAAGGTTTAGGGTTTAGGGTTTAAGGTTTAGGGTTTAGGGTTTAGGGTTTAAGGTTTAGGGTTTAGGGTGTAAGGTTTAGGGTTGAGGGTTTGGGATTTAAGGTTTAGGGTCAGTGTGTGATGGTCGTCTTTGGTCTCTGTATTTTCTATCGCTATGCCCTTTTTCTCTTGTTATGAGTATTGTTGATGTTGTTGCCAATGGCATTAGCTGTCTTAGAATCATCTTATTCTGGGTCTTAGGTTTTCGCTGGTTGTGATTTGCTATTTTTCCTGGTTTAGGACCTTCCGGGTGTGTGGGCTGGGGTCGAGGGCACTCGAGACTCTCAGAGCTTCGGGTAAACTGGTGACATCGAAACTCAGAAATCTATCCCTAGGCTTCCAGGGACCTTACTGTTGGGTCCTTAAGGTTTCTAGTGCCCTAACTATAAGGAGAAATCTATCAGCTCCGAAACGAGGATGCCCCGTAACCTAGGAACAAAAAGGGCTCCCTTTTTGGTATTGGGTAGCTGTGAAAAGGAACCTTGGACTACGAAGAGGGAATAAGGGTACTACTGACTATTTGCTTAAGAAACCCTCAAAAAATAAAAATAATAATCCCTATATTACCCCAATAAGGAATATATTTTTTATTTTTGGGGGGCTCTTAAGCAAATAGTAGTAAACCATGGGTTCCCAACTTATTGGCCGGAGCCTCTGTAATCACAGCAACCCCTGTACTAGCCCTTATATCATAGCAGCCTACACACCCAACCTGGACAGCGAAACTTAGAAATACCCAAAATAAGGGTCTTAGTAATCAGAAAAAGGAGACCTAAGAAATCGTAGTCGGTACTAAGGTAATGTTTCAAAATAAGGGTCTTAAGAATCAGAAAAAGGAGACCTTAGTAGTCGGTACTAGTGTAATGCTTCATGCTTCTATAGCAGTTGATCCCCAAAGAACACCCTGGGCCACCCGGCTAAGTTGCCTCAGCTTGCCGGCCATGGATGCCACGTTGACCACCTTGGCCGGGAGAGGGCTTCTGGCTGATGCACGGCCTTGTGTTTTTGGTTGTGCCCCGTAAATCCACAACCCTCTAAGAACTATGACACCTTACGCGTGGACCTCTGCATCCCGAACCTGCGACTCCACAAGTCACAAGCCCCACATCCCCAAGCCCCGAACCGTCTACGCCTGAACTCAGAATTCCCGACACACGGTTTAGGGTTTAGAGTTTAAGTTTATTGTAACTAGCAACACCCACCCGATGAATCCTAAACCCCTTCGAACCTACTGCTTGAATAACTGGAGTCCTGGGGTTGTACAAGCATTGTTTGCAGCAGACCGTTGGGTTTGGGTTTCGAAGATAACAAAAAAGAAAGTTACCCCTGAGGAACACCCGTTGAAAACAGCTAAACAGCCTCCATGTTGCCCTTGCATCCCCTTTGAAATGGATACGAGAACCCTATATCCTAAACAATCCCCTAACCCCTAAACCCTAAATGCCAAAACCCCAAAACCCTAAACCTTAAATCCTAAAACCCCTAAACCCCAAAACCCCAAACCCCAAAACCCTCCCTAAACCCTAAACCCCTAAACCCTTAATCCCAAAACCCTAAACCCCCAAACCCAAAACTCTAAACCCCTAAATCCTAAACGCCAAAACCCCTAAACCCAAAACCCTAAACTGGGCTTTTGAGTAACCAGGGACAAAAAGTAATTCTAAACTTGTATTTCATAATGGCTCCTTTAAGAAAAAAGTATTAAAGTATGGCACTAACCCTAAACCCTAAACCCTAAACCGTGGCGGTACTCCAAACCCCTGAACCTCTAAACCATCCACGTCGCCCTCGGCTCTCGCCCGGCCGCGGCCGACCCGCGAAGCAGCGGCAGCAGCCCTTGGCTTGCGGGTGCCCATTTTTTCGGGTTCCGGTCTGGAGAAGGGTTTAGGGTTTAGGGGTTTAGGGTTTAGGGGTTTAGGGTTTTGGGATGAAGGTTTAGGGTTTGGGGTTTACAACTTTGAGTAGATCTAGCTCTTATGGTTTATGGTTTATGGTGTTAAAACCTCTATAATCAATAACTCCATAAATAGCAAACCACACAGCTCTGTTTGGAGAGGGCTGAGGATCCCTTTTGGAGGGTTTCTTCAGGGACTCGACTAAGGGATCTACACTGTAGCTAGAGGCTCCATAGTAGTTCCTTTTTGGGGTTCATATGTAGAATCATATAAAGGTAATCCCGAAAAGGAACTACTATGGAGCCTTAGGGTAGCAACAATGTCATCTACGCAGCATCTGTCACCCTAAACCCGAAACTGTCATGTGACGGTAGACTGGCGTTTTAGCTCGAACGTGCCACTGGCAAACGCAGGGCCGGTGGGGACCACCGAGGTCGGATGTGGTTGGTGTGAGCAAGTTGTTGGAACTGAAGATCTGAAACCCAAGACCTCTTCTAGGTTCGAAACCCTACATCTTAAGTTAATCCTGAAGTCTAAATATTCACACCCTCGCCCCAAGAAATGCCCTCTACATCCTGAGGCCTATAGATGTCCTAAATCTCAAACCCTCTCCGAAAGAAATGCCCTTTGCTTCATTACTTCAGTCGGGGAGTTGGGTTTAGGGTTTAGGGACAGGGTCGAAGTGTAGACTTCTGCTTTCCGTGGCCGAGAGCCATTCCCGAAAAGCCCAGCCATCCAGACATCATTAGTTACCCAGAGAGCCCAATACCCCTTAACTAAGGAATATGGCTTAACTTATGTAGGGCTTCATATTATGATTTAAGGTATTACGTAATTAATGGGTGTTGGGATCTCTGGGTACTATACTTGGAAGTTCATGGGTAATTCTACATGGGCTTATGAGAAGGGTAAGCATAGTTATAACCCATGTAATATTAGGGGACTTATAGCCCCACTTACAACTGCCCATGAATCTCCAAGTAGGGGGCCTCAATGATGAGAATGGTGTTTGGGGGTATATGGGAGTTGTTGAAAATTATGGCCACCCTGTTTTGGGGTCCTTATAATAAAGATCCTACGATTTAGGGTACTATGCTAGGGTACCCTATTTTCGGAAACCCACATATTGGATGCTATGGTTACAAGGCGACTAGAAGGAGATACGATCGCTCATATCCAGACATTGAGTCACTAGACTACCCCGCTGAACCTGGTTTGTACATCTAGGGCTCGAGGACAGGAGCCGAATAGACAGGCCTCTAACTTCCAGTGTTGGGTGGTACATGACTTGGGGTTTGGTAGACCCTGAGCCCTGAGTAGAAGCCCCTTACAGGTAGGTAGTTCCTCTTCCATAGTACTCCCATAAGACCCCCTTTACCTTATAGGAGTGGTATGGGAGGCTTATGGGAAACTACCCACCTTATAACTACCCACCTGTAGATGTCTTAGCCCCGGCTACTGTGGTTGGCTGGTGGGGAAGCATCTCCATAAATGTGGGAGCTGAAGCTGCAAGTTTCAATGACCCTTGAACAACAGCAACTATCATGAAAGAAAAAGAGGGTCACATGAGTCACATGTATGAATGTACGCACTATGGCAAAACGAACTGTCGGGATCTGCTGCCATTCCTGCTTGCTGAGTTCGGGCCATCCACTCATCAAACTCCAAACCCCCCGAAACCGCAACCCTAAACCCTCAAACCTATCCTGACAAGCGGCGATCGGTGAGCCGCATGGTCGCGAAAAAGTTGATGGCGAGCCTGGACACAGGCCAGACGCATATCCGGACTTGGGGCTCTCAGGGTTAGGAATCTACTATTACTTCGACTTTGGATTATTGTTGCATCGAAATGTCAAAGACCATGCGCATAAGAAACCATCGTACGAAGAAAACGTGACATAGCGTGAACCCGCATGGGCGTCGTATTGCGTACAACTTCTCGTCACCTGAAACCTGAAACCCCGAGAAAGAATTCTCCAGCTGAAGGTTGAGGGTTCATGTGTACGGTTGGAAGCTTAAGTTCTCTAGGAGTTTGACTGTAACATAACACGCAAGCTGTTAATACAACAACAACGGCTTCAAGGTACAACTTCACACCGCTTCATTGCGAAGTACTGAAGCCCTGAAACTTCAGTGCGTCAGATCCCGAGTGCAAGGTTTAGGGTTTAGCCAACACCTTCCCCCATGAATGCTGCGAAGGGCGTTGGCACTGTCTGATCCTTGAAGGGCGTAGGATCAGCGGCTTTGAAGGCAATGGCGGCGTTGTTGACAAGAACATCCAACTGCTGATACTTCGTCCTGAGCTCGTGGTACAGAACTATAATATGGGGGCCTGAATAATTAGAATAGGGCTTGGGGGTATGGTATACTATAACAAGAACAAAATGCAAAACCGAAAGCTTCGATCGCCGGATGGAACCTTCTGCTCCAAAGCACTTCTACACCCCCTTAGATGGAGGTACAACTCACCAGTGGTTTTGGGGTTCCCTTGGCTCTTTAGCTCCTTGTTTAATAGGGATTATCATCATCCCTGGCTCCTTAGCTCCTCCAATATTTAAATGGAGTCTAGCACCTACATGGCCACATGATAAGGGACCCCTCGCAGAAACCAGTGGAGCAAAATTGCAGACTCCAGAAGCGATCGTGCTGCTGTCAGTGGTGTCATCTTTGGTCGCGACGATAGTCGCTGAGAGGAATCAGAAGAAGAAGAAGATGATGATGATGACATCAACGCTGGTGCTGGTAGTGCTGGCTGGTGAATCCCAAGACTCGAACCTCATAAAACCCTGAACCCTTGATCCTACACTCCTAAACCCCCAGACCCCATACACGGAAAAACAGAGACCAAGGAGCCAAGAAACTCCCTAGAGAGCCCAATACCCCTTAATTAAGGAATATACCTTAAATCATAATATGAAGCCCTACATAAGTCAAGCCCTATTCCTTAATTAAGGGGTATTGGGCTCTCTGGGTCCCTAAACCTTAAGCGAGGCAAAGGATCTCCATGGTGGAGGCAAAAGCTTCGATGGATGAATCGGAGCCCAAGTCCTCTGAGACTCTGTGTCATGGGAGGGACCGGTTTAGGGACAGGGTTTAGGCTTTAGGGTTCAGGTTGTTTTGGGGTTTAGGGTTTAGGGTTCAGGTTGTTTTGGGGTTTAGGGTTTAGGGTTCAGGGGGTTTTGGGGTTTTGGGTTTAGGGTTCAGGGGGTTTTGGGGTTTTGGGTTTAGGGTTCAGGGGTTTAGGGTTTAGAGTTCAGGGGGTTTTCAGGTTTAGGGTTTAGGGTTCAGGGGTTTAGGGTTTAGGGTTCAGTGGGTTTTAGGGTTTAGGGTTCAGGGGGTTTTAGGGTTCAGGGTTTAGGGGATCTATGTTCGGTAGCCTGGGGACCTTGTTCGCTGAAACAGGGTGTTGTGGAATCTCATGCGGCTTCAATAAGTTTCATAGTATGGCTTTGATTGGGCTCTAGGGCTCTATGCAGGGGCCTCACCTTTTGCCCGAATCCCATGTAAGGTTTTCGGTTGCCACATTTGTTTCGGTTCCTACATATGATGTGAGATATTGGTCGGACCTCAAGCAAGCCCCTTCACTGGACACTCAATGCCACCTTGACCCTAAATCCTTAACCCTGGACCTCAACGATAGTACTAGACCTTCTGACTTCGCTAAGGCCCATCTGTTGTACCCCAGACCCTAAAAACCCCAGACCCTATTCGGCCGCATGTGCTGAGATACTAACTCCTGGCAGTAGCCGGTTTAGAAATCCTTTAAAGGAGCCCTGTTCTAGTCATCTTTCAATCCTAGACCCTAACCACTAAGCCCCAAAACCAAGCAACAAATAAACCCTTAACCCTAAACCCTTAAACCCTAAACCTTTAAACTTCAAACCCACAAACCCACAAACCCTAAACCCCAAAACCCTTATGTCCGTATTAAACCCTTGAGCCCTTAAGCCCTAAACAGTATACCCTGAACGCTCATGGGTAGCTAGGGGTTATAAGTAGGGGATCTATAATTATAACACCTATTAGGGGACTTATTATCCCACTTGTAACTACAAATGAATCTCCAAGTAGGAGTTCCCGAAAATAGGGAACCCTAACATAGTTCCCTAAATACTGGGATCCTCATTTTATTCTAAGGACCCCTAAATAAGGTCCCCCTAATTTTCGGAAACTCCCAAGTAGGTACACCCCATAACCCCTAAACCCTTATGTAATCCCTATAGATCCCAGCGGGCGCTTTAAGGAACAACAAAACTAGATCACGAAACCTCAAACCCTTCTAAACCCTAAATCCTGAACCTGAAACCCTACACCCTATAGATCCCTTTAAAGGGGCCATTAAAGGAACCCTAAAACCCTTCATATCCCCTTATAGAAACCCTATATAGATCCCGTTAAAGGGGCCCTTAAAGGAACCCTAAAACCATTCCTATGCCCTTAAAGAATTCCGATAGATCCCTTTACAGGGGCCCTGATAGGAACCCTTATATCTACCCATGAAGCTCCAAGTAATGTCATAACTCAATATAACTCATAACTACCCTAAACCCTAAACCCTACAGAACCCTTAAAGGAACCCTAAACCCTAAACCCTACAGAACCCTTAAAGAAACCCTAAACCCTAAACCCTACAGAACCCTTAAAGGAACCCTAAACCCTAAACCCTACAGAACCCTTAAAGAAACCCTAAACCCTAAACCCTACAGAACCCTTAAAGGAACCCTAAACCCTAAACCCTACAGAACCCTTAAAGAAACCCTAAACCCTAAACCCTACAGAACCCTTAAAGGAACCCTAAACCCTAAACCCTACAGAACCCTTAAAGAAACCCTAAACCCTAAACCCTACAGAACCCTTAAAGGAACCCTAAACCCTAAACCCTACAGAACCCTTAAAGAAACCCTAAACCCTAAACCCTACAGAACCCTTAAAGGAACCCTAAACCCCAAACCCTACAGAACCCTTAAAGAACCCTAAACCCCAAACCCTACAGAACCCTTAAAGGAACCCTAAACCCTAAACCCTACAGAACCCTTAAAGGAACCCTAAACCCCAAACCCTACAGAACCCTTAAAGGAACCCTAAACCTCAACCCCGGGTTCTTGCGCCGGGGCTCGAGGACTTCGAACTCGCAGCCCAGGCGCCTCGCTGCCTCGGAGCCGCGCTCCGGACCTGATGGGTCTTTAGGGTCTTTAGGGTTTCTTTTTTTTTATAAAAAAAAAGGTCTTTAGGGTTTAGGGTTTAAGGTTTAGGGTTTAAGGTTTAGGGGTTAGGGTCTTTAGGGTTTAGGGTTTAGGGTTTAGGATTTAGGATTTAGGGTTTAGGGTCTTTAGGGTCTTTAGGGTTTAGGGTTTAAGGTTTAGGGGTTAGGGTCTTTGGGGTTTACGGTTTAAGGTTTAGGGGTTAGGGTCTTTGGGGTTTAGGGTTTAAGGTTTGGGGGTGAGGGTCTTTAGGGTTTAGGGTTTGAGGTTTAGGGGTTAGGGTCTTTAGGGTTTAGGGTTTAGGGTTTAGGATTCAGCAGCTCCGGATCGAGCAGTTTTAAAGTAGAGATGTATTTACGGTTTAGAAATAACACCCACCCACCCTTAGAATCCCATAACATAAGCCAAAGTTTCAATTCATTCACAGCTTTACACTATTATCGCCGAACGTTATACAACACTAAAAGCATTAACATAAACTAAAGTTGTGAATCTAGCCACCCAAAGAACCCCATAACACTAGGATATACAAATTTCTTCATAATTTAGCCCTTGCTTAAGCACCCACCACTTCCATAATAAGCAAGGGCTAATCAAAATTGCCGCCTTACAGAAAGAAGCATGACACATAAATTGTTTCGTTTATTGGGGCGTTTGGAAGGCAAACCTCTTGTGGAATTGTTTCGCTTATTGGGGCGTTCGGAATGGAAATCTCTTCCGGAATTGTTTCGCTTATTGGGGCGTTAGGACGCAATACCTCTTGCAAAACTGTTTCGCTTATTGGGGCGTTCGGAATGGAAATCTATTGCAGAATTGTTTCGCTTATTGGGGCGTTAGGAAGCAATACCTTGAATTGTTTCGCGTATTGAGGCGTTCGGAATGGAAATCTCCTGCAGAATTGTTTCGCTTATTGGGGCGTTAGGAAGGAATACCTCTTGCAAGAATTGTTTCGCTTATTGGGGCGTTCGGAATGCTAAGCATGACACATTTCAGGCCGGAAATGTGTCATCTTTTCCGCCTTACAGAAAGAAGCATGACACATTTCAGGCCTAAACCCTGAAGGCAAGCATTGAGCCCTAAACCCTAAACGCAGGCCCTAAGCCCTAAACCCTACCCCCTAAAGGCAGGCCCTGAGCCGCAGCCCTAAACGCAGGCCCCGAGCCCTAAACCCTAAACCCTAAGGGCACGCCCCCAGCCCTAAACCCTAAAGGCAGGCCCCCAGCCCTAAACCCTAAACCCTGAAGGCAGGCCCCGAGCCCTAAACCCTAAACCCTAAGGGCAGGCCCCCAGCCCTAATCCCTAAACCCTACGAGCAGGCCCCCAGCCCTAAACCCTAAACCCTGAAGGCAGGCCCCGAGCCCTAAACCCTAAGGGCAGGCCCCCAGCCCTAATCCATAACGGCAGGCCCCCAGCCCTAAACCCTAAACCCTAAAGGCAGGCCCCGAGCCCTAAGCCCTAAACCCTAAAGGCAGGCCCCAGCCCTAAACTCTAAACCCTAAGGGCAGGCCCCCAGCCTAATCCCTAAACCCTAAAGGCAGGCCCCCAGCCCTTAACCCTAAACCCTAAGGGCAAGCCCCCAGCCCTAAACCCTAAACCCTAAAGGCAAGCCCCAAGCCCTAAACCCTAAACCCTAAAGCCAAGGGCGACCTTAAACGACGAAAGTTTGACCTTAAACGACGAAGGTTTGACCTTAAACGACGAAGGTTTGACCTTAAACGACGAAGGTTTGACCTTAAACGACGAAGGTTTGACCTTAAACGACGAAAGTTTGACCTTAAACGACGAAGGTTTGACCTTAAACGACGAAGGTTTGACCTTAAACGACGAAGGTTTGACCTTAAACGACGAAGGACTCGGGTCAGACCTTCGTCGTTTAAGGTCAAACCTTCGTCGTTTAAGGTCTAACCTTCGTCGTTTAAGGTCAAAAACCCGGGGGTGACCTTAAGCGACGAAGGTTTGACCTTAAACGACGAAGGTTTGACCTTAAACGACGAAGGTTTGACCTTAAACGACGAAGGTTTGACCTTAAACGACGAAGCCATGAAAGTTTAAATTATCATATGAAAGAGAGGTTTAGGGTTTAGGGTCTTTAGGGTCTTTAGGGTTTAGGGTTTAAGGTTTAGGGGTTAGGGTCTTTGGGGTTTACGGTTTAAGGTTTAGGGGTTAGAGTCTTTGGGGTTTAGGGTTTAAGGTTTGTCGATGCTCCGCGCACACCACCACGCGAGACGTGTGTTGTGGTGTGCGCCCAGGTTCAACGCTCTCGCCCTACCCGCCCACCCAGTCTATGACCTTTGTCGGGTTTAGGGTTTTTTTCAAGGTTTGTGGCTTGGTCTGGCGGTGGCCCAAAATCAGGCCAAGCAGGGCAGTGGGCGGGGCAGGACAGGGCAGCAGGGCAGAGCAGGGCAGGGCAGGGCAGGGCAGGGGAGCAGGGAGAGCAGGAGCAGGGGGCAGGGCAGGCAGGGCAGGGAAGGACGGGCCCCTGGGACCACTGTCCCGGGGGGGCCCTGGGACAACTGTCCCGGGGGGGGCCCGGGACAAGCGGAGGGTGGGGCGCAACAGTCCCTGGTCCAAGACCTGAGGGAGGAGGGCCCAGGCCGGCCCACCCAGGCAGGCGCATAGGCTAAATCCTAAATCCTAAACCCTAAATCCTACATCCTAAATCCTAAATCCTAAACCCTAAATCCTAAATCTTAAATCCTAAAAACTAAACCATAGATCCTAAATCCTGAATCCTAAATCCTAAATCCTAAATCCTAAACCCTAAATCCTAAATCCTAAACCCTAAGGGATGGGGCCCTCCGAGCTTGGAGGTTTAGGGTCATATTGTTCTGATTGGCTAGCATGCCTGTCGCATGCGCCAGCACCTGAGCCGGTGCTGGGGCTCCTTCGCTGCGCCTGTCGCGCCAGCTACGGAGCCAGCCTCACTGACGCTTCGGCACGCTCGCTGCTGCTATTCGCAGCGCCCGCAGCTCGCTTCAGTTTAGGGGTGAGGGTCTTTAGGGTTTAGGGTTTAAGGTTTAGGGGTTAGGGTCTTTAGGGTTTAGGGTTTAAGGTTTAGGGTTTAGGGTTTAGGATTTAGGGTTTAGGGGGTGAGGGTCTTTAGGGTTTAGGGTTTAAGGTTTAGGGGTTAGGGTCTTTGGGGTTTACGGTTTAAGGTTTAGGGGTTAGGGTCTTTGGGGTTTAGGGTTTAAGGTTTGGGGGTGAGGGTCTTTAGGGTTTAGGGTTTAAGGTTTAGGGGTTAGGGTCTTTAGGGTTTAGGGTTTAAGGTTTAGGGGTTAGGGTCTTTGGGGTTTACGGTTTAAGGTTTAGGGGTTAGGGTCTTTAGGGTTTAGGGGTTAGGTTTAAGGTTTAGGGTTTCTGGTTTAGGGATTAGGGTTTAAGGCTCCTTTAAGGGTTCCGTTTTGGGTTGCTTAAGGTTTGGGGTGTAGGGCAAGTTGAAGCCTTTTAAGGAGTTTGAGTTGCTTTTAGGGTTCCGTTTAGCGCTCCGTAAGGGGTCCATAAGAGGAGTTTAGTGTTGAGTCCTTGGCTCCCTTTAATCAGCAGGATCCATAAAGGGCTCCGTTTACGTAGTCAGGATCTATAAGCCTTCTATAGAGGGTCGTTAGGTTCCGTTTAGGATACCCTGTTTTGTTTGTAAAGGGTTCCGTTTAGGGGTCCTATCAAGAAGGAACCGAGTTTTAGAATTCTGCTTAGGGATCCTTTTCATCTATAAACGGTTCAGTTTAGGGTTCCGTGTAGGGTTGCAGGTTTAAGGTTCGGTAAGGATTTTGAGTATCAGGGCTCCGGGTTCCGTTCAGGGGGCCTGTAAGGGACCGAAAGACCCTTTATAGAATGCTTATAGATTCCTTGTGGGGCTTAGAGAGGGGATCTATGAAGGGTTTTTCAAGGAGTCTATAGTGGGTTCCGTTTAGGGTTTAGGGTTTCGGTGATATAGGCTTTTTGAAGGTTTCGGGTTTACGGCGTCGAGCTTCGCTTTCTTTAAAGAGGTTCTACAAGAGTGTAGGGTGTAGTAGGGCCTTTAGCGTTTAGGGTTTGGGTGCAGGGCTTAGGAATTCGTGCTACTTCTTTGATTTTGATGTTTGGCTTTTTGCTTCGAAAATTGTTGGTGGGAGTTTTGGGTTTCTGAAGGACTTTCTATAAAACCTAAGCTCCAAACCCCGAGCGGCAAACCCCGAGACCTTACAGTACATTCCGGAAGCAAGCACCCAATACTCAACCCTCCAAGCCCTAGCAAACCCCAGGGAAGCATTTGGTTCCGGGCCCTGTCGAGATCACCATCAGGCCGTGATAAAGACTCTCTGAACCCTGCAAGACCCCTGGAACACCCTAGAGGAATTCACACAAAATCCTGCAAGAACCCTACTTGGAGGTTCATGGGTGGTTATAAGTAGGGTTTTAAGTAGGATAACTACAAGTATAAGTCACATGAGGGGACTTATGACCCCATGTATAACTACCCATGAGCCTCCACGTAGAAGACACCACATTCCTAAGCCCCGAGCTGACAGTAATCCTTAAGAAACCCTGCAAAGACACCCGTTGAAGAAACCCTATTCTGATGATTAAGGCCCCTTACACTAAAACAATACAAAAACCCTTTAATGAACACCCTTGAAAAATAACCTGCTATCGTAACTCTTTAACTTTAAAGCAACCGCTAAAGGAAACAAGTAAAGGAAAGATGAACGCAACCCCACTCCAATTCGGAAGCCCCCTATATGAACACCGTCTAAGCCCTACAGAGGCCTTTACAGGAACCATGACTAAAATGTCAGGAAACACTATTCTGATTGTCAAGGCCCCTATATCCTGAACCCTTAACCACAACTTGACCCTGCACACCCCAAACCCTAAACTAAAACCACAAACTGAAGCCGTAAACTGAAACCCTAAACTACACCCTACACTCAGCCCCGAAACTAAAACTAAAACCCGAAACTAAAACCCTAAACTGAAACCCTAAACTAAAGGCCTAAACTGAAACCCTAAACTGAAATACTAAACTAAAACCCTAAACCCTAAATCCTAAGCCCGAAAAAGAAACCACACATGAACCCTAAACTAGAACCCTAAACCCTAAATCCGAAACCCTAAACTGAAAGCCTGAAAGCACTTGCTTTGATTTTTCTGCTCAGAGCCCCAGTGGCTGCGACAGGCGATGACGACCCGTAGGCCGGCTTCCTGTTGGAACTTCCGCTTCTGTACTTGGAGCATCATGGGACTTAGGGTTCCTTAAAGGGCTGCTTAAAGGGTTTAGGTTTAGGGATCTATAATATGAGGGATAGTTTAGGTTACTTAAAGGCTCATGGGACTTAGTAAGTAAGGTTATAAGTAGGTTATAATTAGGATAACCCCACTTAGGGGACTTATAACCCCCATTATAACCTACTTACTAAGTCCCATGATCCTCTAAGTATCTGTGCTTAGAGGTTCAGGGGTACTGATAAGGGTTCCTGTTAAGGCTCCCTTTAAAGGGGTCACTAGGGATTCTATAAGGGTATAGGGGCTATAGGGCCTACTTAGAGGTTCATGGGTAGTTGTAAGTGGAGTCATAAGTAGGGTAACTAGAGTTATAACTTATAACTCCTATTAGGGGGCTTGTGGAACTCCAATGGAGACTGTGGGTCGTGTAACATGAAAACAGGGATGTCATGTGATGTCATCATTCACATAATGTAGTAGAATGTAAATGTAGCATGATGTAGCATAATTAGAATAGTAGAGTATAGTCTAGTAAGGTGTAGTATTGTAGATTAACCCCTTACCCTTCTATAAAACCCCCCCCCCCCCCCAATAATAAAGACCCCTTGGGGCGAATCCTCGCGAAATCATCCGTGCGCTTTAACATCTGTTCTGAGTTAGGGGGAGGGTTTCGACGCTCCGAATACCCTCAGAGCCAGCAAGAGCGAGAGTAGCAGCAAGAGCAAGAGCAGGAGTTTCAGCAAGAGCAGGAGCAGTGCAAAAGCGGGAGCATCTGCAAGAGCAGCAGCAAGAGCAAAGCAAAAGCAAGAGCGGGAGTAAGAGCAAGAGCAGGAGCAAAAGCGGGAGCAACAAGAGACGCAGCAGAAGCAGGACCAAAAGCCAGCGCAGGAGCAAGAGCCAGAGCAGGAGCAAGACCCCTCAAAAGTGGCAGTAGAGATACAAGCACACCCGCATATTAAAATCAGAATTTCTATCGGGGGGGGGGCGGGGCGTTTAATATTTGGGGGACGGGATTAAGGAGTAGAGTCTGGGATGGCACAGTCTAACTCCAACTTGATCTGATCTAATGTGGTAGAGTATAGTCTAGTCCAGCCAGGCGTATGATAGTGTAGTGTAGAATAGTTCAATGTATATATATATATATATATATATATATGATATGATATGATATAAGGACCAACGGAATCCGACAAGGGCTGACGGTTGGTATATGTTCATGATGTCGCATAACTGGCTTGTAGAAAACAATGGTGCGGCGCATCGTTCCGTTATTCAAGGGCACCTGCGGCACGAGCAGACCAGTACCAGTACTACTCGTACTACTACTAGTCCTAGTACTAGTACTAGTTCTTGTTGTGGTCGACGTAGTAGTAGTAGTAGTAGTAGCAGTAGTAGTAGGAGTAGTTGTAGGAGTAGTAGGAGTAGTAGTAGTCGTCGTCGTCGTAGTAGTAGTAGTAGTAGCAGTAGCAGTAGCAGTAGTAGTAGGAGTAGTTGTAGGAGTAGTAGGAGTAGTAGTCGTCGTCGTCGTAGTAGTAGTAGTTTGTAGTAGTGGTAGTAGTAGTTGTAATGGTACTAGTGGTACTGGTACAAGACCTAGGGCCGAATGCCACAGCAGTTCAGCGAGGTGTCCGAAACCCAGGGCGGAACCCAGCGAGGTGTCCGAAACCCAGGGCGATCACACCCGGAACCCCAAACCCTGGCGTCCTGAAGCTGTCGAGCGACGTAGAACCCGACACCTTTGTTGGCGCCTGTGACCACCTGCAGCTGCGGAGCCCTTAGGGTTTAGGTTTAGGGTTTAGGGGTTTAGGGTTTGTCTGGAATCCCAAAACCAAGAGCGAACACATACACAGATATTGTTGCTGCCTTTGCCATTGCGACTGTTCTTGTCATAGCTAGCATGGGTGTCAGCAATGGTTCATGCCATAAACACACAACCCTTTAGTAATTATTGCACTATTATATGGGGGTTTCCGAAAATAGGGGACCCGAATCTAGTACCCCAACATAGTAGGATCCATAGTACAAGCACCCCAAAGTAAGGTACCCCTAATTTTCAGAAACTCCCATACTACTACAGCCTTTTGCACTCCTTCTAACACCCTGTACCCAGAGAGCCCCATACCCCTTAATTAAGGAATATACCTTGAATCATCATATTAAGACCCTTATAATTTGAGGTATATTCCTTAATTCAGGGGTGTTGGGTTCTCTGGGTAGTTAAGTACGCGTTTACCCTAAACCCTAAACCCAGCGCAGCCACGGCCAGCCGCGCCATCGCCGGGGCGGCAACGCCAGGGCTTCGGAGCAGCGGCGACACGGCGAACGCCATGGTTAGGAGCAGGCTCCGCAGAGGCATTCGGAGTAGTATAGCGGCCGTAATAGTTAGAATAGGGATTCTTCAAGGGGTCCATAAGGGTTACTATAAGGGCTGCTATAAGGATTTAGTACATGCGCCTTAATACTTAGAATAGGGTTTTGGGTCCCATTATACTATACATTTAATCAGGAACCCCCAAAATAGTATAGGTAAGTGTTCCGGCATTCAGAGTAACATGGACCGGTTTTTTGCTAAGATAATCTTGAACTGCCCCAATTTTGTGACCCTTTCTTTGCTGTCCACCTCTTCCCTTGACAGCATTCTGACGTGCAGCATTGCGCCGGGAGACTGAACGGCATAAGCTACTGACTTCCGGCTATTGGTCGATTCTTGCTGCTCCTGGCGGCAACTGGCAAAGAAGAAAGAACTTCTCAATCGGTGTTGGGCTGTCCGGATATGCAGTGAACCCCAGAAAGTTGGAGCATGGTTTAAGGATGATTCGTACTAGGACTCCTCAGTAGGACTCCTCCTACTTGACCTTAAGGGCATGCCCAACTTCCTCTACATTCCTCAGTAACCCCTTAATCATAATGTAACGGTACCCTTCTTGCTACTATTCAGTTTCAATATGGAGATCCCAACCTACAAAGGGCAACAGGGTACTACTCAGGAACCTAGTTCTCTCTATTACTATAAGACATGCCGCTTTTCGCTACGCCAGTCGCCGACGAACACAGCGCTCTCGTGAGCCCCCCTCCATCCGTTGCTTCATGTCCTGACTTGTCCGATACAGGGGGTGTTCCGGGATTACAAAAACAAGGTTAAGGCACTTAAGGGTCCGGTTGTTGAGGGTTTAGGGGTTAAGGTTCTTGCAGGGTTTCAATTTCAAGATTTATGAGCTTTTACGTGGCATTGTAGTGCTTTAGGATTTAGGGCCTTGGAGCTTTAGAGTTTATCCTCCCGCTAGCGGGGTTTAGTGTATATCGGCTCGGCAGCCTTAGGGTGAATTTCCTGGTTTGGGGATCCTTTTTTGGCGATGTGGGGAGTCTTACTGTTTAAAGAGTTTTAGGGTGTGGCTTAGACAACGCAGGTTCACAAGCTTTGTGCTCCGGGTTTGCAAAGCCTTGAGCTGCTTTCAGTTTACCAGGTTAGAAAGTCGTGGCTCTCGTGTTTAGGAGTTAAGGACTTTAGGCTGAGGTAATTACTCTCTCTCTCTCTCTCTCTCTCTATAAATATAAATATATATATATATATATATATATATGTTTGTACATACCTAGACATAGTGTGTTATATATATATATATATGTATAATATAAGTAGTATGTGCAAAAACTCATGTGTATATATGTATATACATATTTGGACTTTGGGTGCAATCAGTGCCTCCGTCCATCCAGCCCTCCACTCCTCCCTCCATCCACCATCCTTTTTCTCCATCCAGCAACCCTCGCCCCGTGCAGCCCTCCTCCAGCCATTGCCCAGCCCACCCACCATCCAAATCACTCCTCCCAAACAACCACCTCCCTGGCTCTAAACACCCGCCTGGCCTCCACCCGAACACCATGAAGCGATTGCGGTTCTGTATCACCCACCAACTTAAATAGTTCGATCGAGCTTTCGTAAGGCTTTGGGGTTTCGCAAGGGTTCAATGTAGAGGCATCCTCAGCGAGTAGAATAATGTTTAGGGGTTGATTATACGACTACCTAAATATACAATCTAACCAACAGTACGGAGGATCTTGCCTTTGGTTGCGCTTGACCTCAGGCTAGGAGTCTTCTGGGGGCTACGACTGCAAACCTAGGCCCTAAACCCAGCTTGCGGTGTTGAGCTTCGGGCATGTGTTGCCCCTTGCAGGGTGGAGTCTGCGGAAAGAACGTTTTGTACTCTTGGTTCTTTTGGGATCACTCTTACATCTCTAAAACTTACCACTTTTTGGTCTAAGAAGTGAACGATTAGCAGGGAACTGTTGCACGCGGGGTCCTGGACTGGATGCATTGCGGCCAAGCTCACGACAACCGTAGAAGTCTCGAAGAATACATTCAGACTCATACATGAAGCTCTAGATGGGGACCTAATGTAGTGCCCTACGTAGTAGGACCCAGAATGAGGTCCCTAATTTTCGGAAACCCCCAGATCCTGAAACGACGAGGTGGGGATCATAGAGCACTTACGCAAAGGATCATCGGATTTAGTAAGGAAGGCTATAAGTACCTTAATTGGGGTTATAAGTAGTTATAAAGTACAGTTACCCTAATTATAACCCTAGTAACTAAGTCCCATGATCCTTTTAGTAGACCCTAAACCCTAAACCCTATAGATCCCTTTAAGGAACCCTATAGATCTCTTTAAGGAGCCCTTTAGGGAACCCTAGTTACTAAGTCCCATGATCCTTTAAGCAGAGTTGCAGGGTTTCAGATCTACGGTTCAGAGGTTTATATAAGGCTTGGACCTTACAGGGGGCTTCCGAGAATAGGGGGCCCCAATCTAGTGGAATCCTTATTATGAGGCCCCTCGAATGAGGTATTCCCTAAACCCCTAAGCCCTAAACCCTAAACCCCTAAACCCCTAAACCGCTAAACCCTAAAAAACCCTAAACCCTAAACCCCCAACCCCTAAACCCTAAACCCATCATTTTCTGGAAACTCCCCACATAAACTTCAGGGCGTGCCCAACTTACCTTTGGTTAGTAGGGAATGGAGGAATAGGGTACAATTAGAACTACTCTTACTACCATTCTTCCATTCCCTGCAAACCAAAGGTAAACCCTAAACCCCTAAACCCTGAACCCCTAACCCCTAAACGCTATAGATCCCTTAAAGGATCCCTTTAAAGGAACCCAAAACCCCTAAACCCTGAAACCTATAGATCCCTTCAAGGATCCCTTTAAAGGAACCCAAAACCCCTAAACCCTAAACCCTATAGATCCCTTAAAGGGTCCCTTTAAAGGAACCCATTCCTGGCATTCTTCCTACTAGCCCAAGGCTCCACGAAGTCCACCAGGATCGTGTGCTTGCCTCAGTCCCAGCTCTGAACTCCCGGGAACTGTCATAAGGATCCTTTAAGGTTTTCTTTGTTTTTTAAGGGCCTCCTTCTATTCCGGGTTTGGGGTCTAGGATTTAGGATTTAGGGGTTAGGGTTTAGGTTTTAGGATTTAGGGTTTAAATAGGGGTTTAGGGTTTAGGGTCCATGCAGGATCCTTTTAGGGTTCCTCGAAGGGCTCCTTGAAGGGTTAGTATGACGGCTTTCTATAAGGGTTTCAGAAGGGGACGCCGTCGACGCTTAAGGGTTTAGGGGTTAAGGGTCCATGTACCCAAATAGTATATACATACGTTGGCAAAGTACCTGTATAGGGACTACTTTATGAGGCCAAGTATACACTATGTGGGCACATGGACCCTTAGGGCAATCAAACTCCACGTGCTTACCTGCAAGCCCTGAAGACACCAAGCTCTCAAACCCTGCACCATATGCGTTCCCATTCTAAGCCTATAGGCCCTGGAGATCTAACCGAACCGCGCTGCGGCATCTTAGGCACGAGAGTGACGACTTCGAGCCAACAGAACTGTTTAGCAGACAAGCTCTATCTGATGCATCATAAGTTATAGGATCCTTAAGGGAGGGTGGTTCAAGGGGGGACGGTATAAGGAATCCTTAGGGGACTGTAAGGGAACCTTAGGGAGTACTAGGGAGAATTAGGGATCACTAGGCTATATACCCCCCTTGGACCCCCCTCCCTTAAGGATAATTACTACAAAAAAGGCTCCGGGGTTTACGGTTCAGGAGTCTTGGACTTGGATCCACTCTGGGGCACCGCCAAAACGGGACTGTCGCTCAGGAAAGCATCGATTGACTACCATCCGCTTTGTTGCGGGGTGTGCCCGCAGCCCCGGGCGACATCATTGCTGCACTCTTCCCATTATGTCCTTTTTCGGGCCCTTTATTAATCCCTAAGCCCTAAACCCAGAACCCAAAACCCTAAACCGTAACGGACTCTTCCCAGGATCCTCGGGAGTCCTTGTATAGTACAGGGCCATTAAATAGATTAAATACAGTTTGGGCGCGCGTTGGAGCCTGTTAATGCAGTATTACCGCAGGAATACTGTACATATACCTGGATCCCCCAAAATTACACCATAGACCCGAAGAAACTCTAAACCCTCTGCCTCAAACCCCGCCCCAAACCCTGAAGCTTAAGACAACGATAATTTCAGCCTACCCTGAACCCTAAACCCCAAACCCTAAACCCAAAACCCTCAACCCCAAACCCTAAACCCTAAACCCTGAACCCCTAACCAGTGATCTCCGAGGGCAAGATGCCCTAAACCCTAAACCCTACACCCTAGAAGCTGCCCCCACCCTGTAATAGTGACTATAAGGATTATATTGATACTATATTAGGGCCCTATTATATTCCTATTATACCACTATTACAGGGTGGGGGCAGCTTCTAACCTACACCCTTAACCCTTAACCTCGTAGGGTCTAGGTTAGGGACCCATCGGGACTCTGCCAAGGCGGTCGCCCCCAGCCAGGAAAGCCTGAAGTGAACGCTTTAGGGTTTAAAGGGTTTAGGGTTTAGGGTTTAGGGTTTAAAGGGAACTCCAGAAAGTTGGAATATGGATTAATGGTAGGATCCCCTATAATTTACCTTAAAGGGGTTACGATAATGATATTCCAACTTTCTGGCTTCTACTGTAGGGACAAATGAAGACGCGAGGGAGGTTGCACGGTTTGAGGTTATAGGGTTTTTGAGGTTCATGGGTGGTTATAAGTGGGGTTATAAGCAGGGTAGCTATAGATATAAGCTCTACTAGTGGACTTATAACCCTACTTATAACTACCCATGAACCTCCAAGTAAGTAGGGTCTTGAGGTTCAGGTTCTAGGGTTCAGGGGTTGGCTCTTGGGATGACATTGTGTGAGTCGACGCCCTCAGCCCCTCTATGATGAGAGGCCAAAAGGGGGGTTTAAGATTCGTGGGGTGGGGATTCCTGAATATGAACCCTATTATGGGAACCCTAATCCCTACTAAACCCCCATAGGCTGAAACCCCTTTTGGCGTCCTATGACTCTAAACCCCTAAGCTCGGCACCCTCACACCCTAAACAACCCTAAGCAATGATAAGCTGGCTTGCGGCTTGCGGCAAGAGGCCCCATTTGTGTATGTATGTATGTAGGTATGTATGAACGTATGTGCGTATGTACGTAGGTACGTAGGTATGTATGTAGGTATGTAGGAATGTAGGCATGTATGCTTGCATGCATGTATATATGTACACATGGCATGCATGCAGGTGTGTGTATGTGTATGTATGTGAGTCTGTATGTACATATCTCATCTGCATCGATTGAAGCTGGTACCGAGCGCACCAAAACCCCACCCAGTGAAGCCAATGCGTGCAAACATTGACATTCATGCTGTAGTCGTTATCGCTCATGTTGTTTGCTTTTGTTTCGCGGTGTGCTCTCCGATGCCCTCCTGAGAGCAGGTTTGGGACTGAAGACCGTTAGAGACAGGGCTTAGGGTTGTCAAAATCTGGGGTTCTGAGAGATTTCGGATTTCAGTGCTTGGTTCTACCGGCAAAGCACGAAGTCAACCGAACCTCCGAGAGCACTTAGCGGATCCGCGGACTTAGTAAGTAAGGTTGTGAGGGAAAGACAGACAGACAGACAGACAAACAGACAGACAGACAGAGAGAGAGAGAGAGACAACAAAAACGAGAGCGAGAGCGAGAGAGAGAGAGAGAGAGAGAGAGAGAAGACATACATGAAAAAGGCAACTGCAATGACTTTGTCAGCATCTGCATATGTCAGTCAGTCTCTACGAACTAGATCTGACAGGATATGGTGGTTACGAACATACCTGCATCTGGTTTGTCCATCTCTGTTTGTATGTCATGTGGAAACTAAACTAGCTTTACCTATATGCTCGCACGCACAAGCCTAGTGTACGGTATACCTATACACATGCGCACACACACACATGCGCACGCACACAAACATTCTACAACTGCAAGAGAGACAGAGAAAAACAGAGGTTCTGTGACCAGCTAGCTCCTGAAATAATAGGCTTAGCTTGCCTGGTGAAGTGCCTCGACGACGTCTTGGCCTTGGCTTTCGAGTTGTGGAGCTGTGTGCTTAGAATTTAGGCTTTCGCAGCGCATGGTGCATGTATGGTTTGTAGTCTCAGAGCTTTAGATCTGGCTTCTGGCCTCTAGGAACGGACCAGCCTTCAGAGAACAAGCTACACAAGCTGGGGTCGTGGAAGTGGGAGTTGTCCTCGCAGTGCTACTCCTTGCAACCTTTGAAAAGGATGCTCGTCAAAAGCATCAAAATAAGATCCCTGCTGCTTCTTATGAACTCACTGCTCCGATGCGTCACTCAGGGCCATCTTCCAGAAATCAGCACCCATGGACCATGTGTTTATTGCTTTGAAGGATTAAGGGGAGGTTTTTAGGGCTTTGAATTTCACGGTTTCAAGGTAGCACCTAGACCCAGCAAGTACCCTCTTCTGTAGCCCCTTGGAGGTTCATGGGTAGTTATAAGTGGGGTTATAAGCGGGATGACTATAGTTATAACTCCTACTAGGGGACTTGTAACGCGACTTATAAGTACCCATGAACCTCCAAGTAATTACCTCTTATTGAAGAATGTGAGACCGGTTAGGGGATAATTGGCGGGTCCCGGACTAGCCCGAAGTCTGGGCCTGTCTGAGACATGGGCTTTCCTTGCCGAAAGCCTTGAAGCCGTCCTTCTTGCGGTTCAGGGGTCAGGGTTAGGGCGTAGGGCCAGTCTAGGGGTTTAGGGTTTCGGGGTTTGGGGTTCAGGGTTTCAGGCTCAGGCATGCATTCGGGTTATGGCTGTGATGATACCGCTGGCAAGCAAAGCGGGGTTTTTGGTTTACGCCCTCAATTCCCACGCCCTCAATTCCCACACCACCCGAAACAGCAAGCGAAGTGGCCCTCTGGGCCTCTGCGTAGGGCCTCGTTGATGGTTGAAAGTTCTCTCATGTAGAGTTGCGTGAGAAACCCCCCCCCAACTACTGGGGCCCGGTCTTCAGGGTTGCAAGGGTCTTGTTAGGGTTTAGGGGTTTAGGGTTTAGGGAAGGCTTTCGCCCGGCTTTGGGCCCTCGGTTCACAGAAGCGGCTTGGGCAGGACTGGAAACCCTCTAACCCTCAACCAAAGCCCCCAAAGTACGAGCCTAAACCCTACAAACCTCGCAGGCCCTGAACCCTCTGAACCCTATAAGCCTAAAACCTATAAAGCCGATACAAGCCGTATGCACCCCATAAACCTTTAAGCCCTACAAGCCCTAAACCCTGCACCACTACAACCCTAATTTAAAGGCCTACGATAGAAGCCTGAATCCTGAAACCCTATAAACCCTTATAAGGTCCTTCACGCTGAACTCCCATACTCCTGGCGCAGCTGCGCCCGGTGCCTTGCGCTTGCCGGGCGACGCAGTTTCGGCCGGCGCCACCTGGGGAGGTGAAGGTGCTGGGATTGGGGGCGGTAGGGCTTCTAGATTCTACCTTAATCCCCATAAAGCTGGAAGCCGGATTAAGGCCAAATAGTGCTGGGATTCCCTTTAAATTACACTTAAGGATTAAGGCTATTGAGTTTTCCAACTTTTTGTCTTCTACTGTAATTGGCTCTTGTGGTTTGTATTTGGGTTTTGTTGCTCCTAGGGTTCTGGGCAGATTTGGTTTTGGTTTTCAAGAGTTGACCTATAGTCACTTAGTCTCCATTGTAGTTGCTTGATTTGGTTTAAGCAGCTTCGCTTTGTATTTAAGATTCCTGTTTATAAGGTAACCAAAAAAGGAACTACAATGCAGACTGTACCTAGAGGTTCAGGGTAGTTCTAAGTGGGGTTAAAAGTAGGGTAACTCTAGTTATAAGTTATGTAAGCCCTACCAGGAGACTTATAACCCTACTTGTGACTATCCCCGAAGCTCCAAGCAGGTGGGGTCTTGATGGATCGACTTCGATGGAGTCCCGAAAGGATGTTGCGAGTCGAGTTTGTGTCTGGTTTGGAGCTTATGTTCGCACCTGCCCTCATCCAGTTTCGGAGGGGTTTCGGGCCTAAGCCCCATACATTAGAAGGGGCCCCCACCCTGTAATAGTGGTATAATAGGAATATCACAGGGTCCTATGTAATATAATCCTTATAGTCACTATTACAGGGTGGGGGCAGCTTCTAACCTATACCCTAAACCGCTAGGAGTGCAGGATGTCGGGGGCGGAGGGTTTCCATTTTGCAGGAGGGCCTGCAGTGGGAGATTGGCGGGTTGAGGGATGCTTCGCGGCTGTTGAGACACTTTGAGGATCTCGGGTTCGAGTTGCTTAGGCTGTTGCAAAAAGTGGGGCGCGGGCTTAGGCCCTAAACCCTAAACCCTAAATCCTAAACCCTAATGCTGTCCGGCTTTTCGGCTCAGACTCTTCATAGAGAAAAGTAGCAGAATTTCAAGCAGGCTCTCTGCCCTGCTCTGGAAGGAAGTTACAAAAAACAAAACAACCTCGATGGTTCATATAGCATAGCTTTTCTTGCAAAGAACCCTGAATCCTAGGATTCGGGACATGCCCATATGGAGGGGTGTGATCGAATGGAGGTGCATGGGTAGTTATAAGTAGGGTTCTAAGTCCCCGAACAGGGCTCATAACTACAGTTACCTTACTTATAATATAACCCCACTTATAACTACCCATGAACCTCCAAGTAGTGCCTTTTAATCTAAGACGTGGTATGAGTTCACTGTGCTGTTGCTAGGCGCTTTGGACCTTTGAAGTCCTCCGTAGCAGACTTTGCAGAGTCGTCCCGAGACAAATGCTGCTAAACTCTGAACTTGAAGCCCTAAACTGTGAACCCTAAACCCTATACCCATAGGCTCCATACCAGCTCCTTTTTGGGTTTAATTACCATATGGGATCCTAAATATGTACCCCAAACAGGAACTGCTATGGAGCCTTTGGGTAGACTCTATCCCTTGAGCCCTAAATCTTTCAACCCTAAGCGAAGCTCCGCCCGTCGTGGCATCGCCGCGTCGCCGCCCTTATCAGGATCCTTCCCACGGCCCTTGCTGCCCTCGGGCTTTCGGCATTCCGGCGCGACATCCTCAGCTCCGAGACGACGGAGGACGTAGGGTGATAGAGGGGCCTTCATAATGAGAATTTTGGGACCCAGTATGCTATAATTATAATAAGGAACCCCCATAATAGTTTGGTAAGTATGTAGGCTCCTATATTCTATACGGTTAAGAGATTCAGGGTTTAGGGGGTTTCAGGATGCAGGGGTAGGGGATTAGGGGCAAGGATTTCCAGGTTGAGGACGTTGAGAGCCTTGAGGCTTTGTTTGTGGTTGTGGGCTGTAGGGTACAGGGTTTAGGGTTTAGGGCCTGCCAGTACCGGACCATAGAGGCACACGTGGAACAAGGTTTCACCCGGAATGAGTCGGAATGAGTGCACTGCGACCTCCAATGACACGGAGATCTAGTGACAGACATGGAAAGCTAACCCCCAGCCCCTGACTGACCCCTAGACCCCACAAATTAAACTCAAACTCAACCCACCCCGAAACCTTAAGCCCTAGACTGTAGACCCGATACCGATACCCTAAACTAAACCCTACCCCGCACTACCCAGACCCTGAACCCTAAGCGAAGCCAATCCGCCCGTCGTGGCACCGCCACATCGCCACGCTCCTCGGGACCCTTCCCACGGCCTTTGCTGCCCTCGGGCTTTCGGCTTTCCGGAAAAGTGTCCTCGGCTTCGAGAAAAACCAAGGATGTAGGATGGGGTTATGGGATTCAAGATTAAGAGTCTAATCAAGGGTTTCAAGTCTTAGGGTTTCATTCAAGCTTTGTGATTAGTGGAACAGAGCTTCGCCCGGATGCAATGCACTGCGACCTCCGTTGACACGGGGATCTAGTGTCGACTATTTAATCGGGCGAATGATATCAGAAAGACTCATTGCATGTGTCTTCGGAACCCCAGCCTCTGAGCCCTAATTCTCCCTTCAACCCTGTCCCCTAAAGCCCTTTACCCCAGACCCGATACCGATGTCCTAAACCCTGCGCTAACCCCGAAACCCTAAGCGAAGCCAATCCGCCCGTCGTGGCACCGCCGCATCGCCGCACTCCTCGGGACCCTTCCCACGGCCTTTGCTGCCCTCGGGCTTTCGGCCTTCCGGAAAACTGTCCTCGGCTTCGAGAAAAACCAAGGATGTAGGGTGTCGGGGTTATAAGATTCAGGATTAAGAGTCTAATCAAGGGTTTAAGGCTTGGGCACTGGGAATTCAAGGTTGAGAATTTCGAGGTCGTTCGGGCTTTGTCGTTAGTGGAACAGAGCTTCGCCCGGATTCAATGCGCTGAGACCTCCATTGACACGGGGATCTAGTGTCAACGATCGAATCGGGCGAAAGATAACACAAGGAATCACTGCATGTGTCTTCGGAACCCCAGATTCCCACAAACTCTGAGCCCTAATTTTGCCCGAAGCCCATCCCCTTAACCTTTTACCGTAGACCCGATACCGATACACTAAACCCACCCTAAGCGAAGCTCCGCCCGTCGTGGCATCGCCGCGTCGCCGCCCTTATCAGGATCCTTCCCACGGCCCTTGCTGCCCTCGGGCTTTCGGCATTCCGGCGCGACATCCTCAGCTCCGAGACAACGGAGGATGTAGGGTGAGATAGGGGCCTTCATAATTAGAGTAGGGTTTTGGGGCCCATTTTGCTCGAATTCTAGTGAGGAGCCCCCCCAAAATAGTCTTGGTAACTATGTAGGCTCCTATACAACCCGGGTCTTTGGAGGGATCCAAGGTTCAGGGCTTAAGGGCTGAAGAGCTCCAAAGCCCTCATGCAAGCCCTAAACCGCGAAAAACATTCTAAACCCTCAACCAAAAAACATCCTAAACGAAAAACCCAAACCCTAAACCAAAAAAACATCCGAAATCCTGACCTCCCCCCATTAGCAGCATCCTAAACCCCAAACCCACATCCCTATAAGTCAAGGATCCCTAGCCGCCCTCAGAATGAGAGAATAATTCCCAAAAGCACCCTAAACCCTAACAATCCCAAAACCCTACCCTTATCGATCCCCTATAGATCCCTTAAAGGAACCCCTTGTTGAAGGTGATGCCCAGAAACCTAGGAATAAAAAAGGGCTCCATTTATTGTTGGTATTGGGTAACTTTGTAATGAACCTACGACTACAAAAAAAGGGAGTACTGATCCCTTATAGATCCTATACCTTACCCTTATAGATCCCTTGTTCCTTTAAGGGAACCCCTAGGGTTCCCTTAGGGTTCCTTTAAAGGAACCCCTAGGGTTCCTTTAAAGGAACCCCGCATAGATGCAAGGATCCCCCGACTTCGTGGCCTCTGCCGGTGCTTGCGCTGCGCGGCGGCCGCCCTTCGCGAGGCTCTCAGGCGCCTTTGGGGCCTCCTCGGGGGGGGTTTAGGGTTTAGGGGTTGAGGGGGTTAGGGTTTAGGGGTTTAGGGTTTAGGGTTTAGGGGTTGAGGGGGTTAGGGGTGTAGGGGTTCAGGGTTTAGGGGTTGAGGGGGTTAGGGTTTAGGGGTTTAGGGTTTAGGGTTTAGGGGTTGAGGGGGTTAGGGGTGTAGGGGTTCAGGGTTTAGGGTTTAGGGGTTGAGGGGGTTAGGGTTTAGGGGTTTAGGGTTTAGGGTTTAGGGGTTGAGGGGGTTAGGGGTGTAGGGGTTCAGGGTTTAGGGTTTAGGGGTTGAGGGGGTTAGGGTTTAGGGGTTCAGGGTTTAGGGTTTAGGGGTTGAGGGGGTTAGGGGTGTAGGGGTTCAGGGTTTAGGGTTTAGGGGTTGAGGGGGTTAGGGGTTTAGGGGTTTAGGGTTTAGGGGTTGAGGGGGTTAGGGTTTAGGGGTTGATACTGCCCCCATACAGCAGCAGTCTTTAACTTTAATAAGGCTGGCAGTAAGGGCCTAGTATCTCCATATTATGAATATTATCCAACTGTTTTGGCTTCGGAACCCCAGAGAGCCCAATACCCCTTATTTGTAAAAAAAATATAGCGTAAATCATCATCTGAAGCCCTGTATGATTTAAGCTATTATTCCTTCATTAGGGGGTATTGGGCTCTTTGGGTAATACAGCATACTAAGTACTATAGGATTGTAACATACTAAAATGTATGAGACAGTACACTATAGACTAAGATGACGATGTCCTATAGCTTCTGCAGGGCTCTTAGGGCTTCGATGTGTGTAGCTTGGCATATATGTATATATAGCTATATAGATATAAAGGTATGAAGATATATAGATATGTGTATATATATATACATATAGATGTATAGTTATATAGATATACATAGAGATAGAGACATACAGATATACAGCTATATAGGTATATATAGGTATATAGGCTTATACAGACCGCATGCATGGATGGATGGATGGATGGATGGATGGATGGATGGATAGATAGATGGATGGATGGCTGCATGGCTGGATGGCTGGCTGGATGGATGGCTGGCTGGCTGGCTGGCTGGATGGCTGGATGGATGGATGCATGGATGCATGGATGCATGGATGGATGGATGGACGGACGGACAGACGGATGGATGGATGGATGGATGCATGGAAATCAGAATGCCTATAATTGCAGCTCAATGTACGAGGTACTGAACAGTATGGTTGGGCCGACATGTCTAGGAGTCTAGGTCACGGACATCCATGCAGGCCGAGCATCTGGCGCTACATCGGGTGCTCTGCGTCGGCCAGCACTGCCTGCGGGCTCCTGGCCCTCTTTGGGCAGCTTCTGCGCTTCACTCAGTGGAAGACTGGCCGCGCTCGCCGTTGCAGTCGGAAGCAGAGCTTTGGGAGGTGACGGAGGCGCCTGGGTTCTTGCTTAAGGGAGCTAATTTAATGTACCATAATAAGGACACCATATCATCTACCATGGATCCCCATCATAGTAACTTAAACGAAATGGTAAAGAATATAGATCAGCATTTTGGTAATTCGAACTAAAACTCCGCAACAAGAACCCACACGGAGGCGCAGCCGGAGGCGGGAGAGGAGGTGCAGATGCTGAGCTGCAGAGCTTCTTGGCGGCCTCGCCTGGATGACCTCGGATGTCTCAGAGAGCCCGATACCCCTTAATTAGGGTTTAGGGTTTAGTTTTTTTTTTTTTTGCGGGCCCTTTTCCATCTGCAGGGTTTAGGGTTTAGGGTTTAGGGGCTTCATATTATGGTTTAAGCTATATTCCTGAATTAAGGGATATTGGGTTCTCTGGGGTCCCCAGCTCCAGAGCCACAGCTCCCAGAGACTCCCATATCCCATACTTAAGGAGTATGCCTTAAACTATAGTAGGATCCCTAATATGATTTAAGTATCCCATAATTAAGGAATATGCCTTAAACTATATTAGGATCCTTCATATGGTTTGAAGTATTCCTTAAGCAAGGGATATTGGAGTCTCTGGGCTTAATGCCAAACCCTACATCCATTTTCGAGGGTTAAAGTGTGGCAAAACACACAGTTAAGAATCAACATCCATGTATCTTATTGCAGGCAAATTCTACCAACCGACCGTTAGTATTGACGCTACTGTATTGTACTGCGATGATGATACTTGAACCCCTCTACCCCAAATCCAACAACACTAAACTAAGATATTGGAACTGCTTCAGCACCCGTGACCTTCAGCAGCATCTTCGCTGCGCGCCCAGGGCAACTTCCGCCGCGTCCAGGGGCCGCTCGCCGAGCTCATGCTGGGCTCCGGGCCCCTAAACCCTAAACCCTAAACCTTAACTTAACCTGAAATTTTAAACCATATAACTTTCCCTAGGGCTCCAGTTACCTAAACAGAAGGTTACTAGCCATATAATATATACCCCAGTAACCTACTCTTTAGATAACTGGAGAACTAGAGTTTCACAGCGACTGCTTTTGGACTTAGCATAGGTTTGCGGTGGTGTAGGCTTCAGGGTTTTTGCGGCTTGGTGGCAGCAGCCGTTCTGAATGACGGGTGTTTGGCTCGGTGCCCTTGCTGAAAAATGTGCATAAGACTTCTCGGGCTTGTTGGTGCATGGCTTGCGGAAGGTCTTACATGGCTGTGTATCCTGAGAAGGCAGAGCCATGCTGACCGCAAGCTTGTGGTAGAGGATGTGGTAAGCTCTTGCCTGTACTCGTGCCTTCCAAAGCAGCCTACTATGGGGCCCTTAAGAATTAGAATCGGGTTTTAGGGCATATTATACTATAATCATAATAAAGAACCCCCACCATCATATTGGCAATTACTTATTTAGGCCCCAATATTATATCATGGAAGGAAGAGCGATTGAATGAACAAAAAGTGCCTGGACAGGACTTGACAACCCAGAGAGCCCAATACCCCTGAAGTAAGGAATATACCTTAAGTTATATTGGACTTGATATTCTGATTGAAGCCATATTCCTTAATTCGGTGGTATTGGGCTCTCTGACAACTTCCGTGCTTTTTCAATGCTTCGGATCTGCTGGCTAAACTGATACCCAAATTCCTGTCATGCAGGAACCTCACTGGCCCAAAACCCAAGGGAACAAAAGTTGAAACTGTGAGAATCGACTACCTGATAAGAACCCAAAAGTTGAAAAGTTGAGCTTACAGCCAATAAGGAATCTTGGAAACCCCGAGCGTGTAAGCCACCTCCATTAAACCGAACCCCAGCCCTGCTAGACTTAGTTGCTGAGTTCTCAAGTCCCAAAACGTGTGCATTTTGAGTTCTATGAGGGGTTACATTGTCCCCAAAAAAGTGTAAAGTGTACTCACTCAGCTACTTAGCAGATAGACGGATGGATAGAGGGAGAAATAAAAATGAAAGGAGGAGTATGGCCTGAATATCTTTTTTTGAAGCACCGTGTGGGGTTACATAAGAGTATAAGCACGATGACGAAACCCACGGAGCAGTAGGGTTTAGGGTTTAGGGTTTAGGGTTTATATCACGGTCCTGGCTTCCTGTGTTGGACTGTGGGTTAGAAACTAGGATTGCCAGTCACCTAGGAATGAAAAGGGCTCCGGGTACCTTTAAAAGGTACCTAGGACTACAAAAAGGGAATAAGGGTACTACTGGGCATCCTAGGAAAAGTAGCAAAGCAAAGGCTTTGGATGTGTGGCTCAGATTATCGGCTCGCGGCCTTCCATTTTGGGGTACAGGGTTTAGGGTGTAGGGCTTGTTCAAAATCTCGACACCCACCTTTTGGTAGTGTTATCGTATACGCTGGACCAGGGCATATACCAGATTTCCAGAATAAGCAGCCCAGAGAGCCCACTACCCCTTAAATAAGGAATATACCTTAAACCGTAATATCAAGGCCCCTACAATTTAAGGTATATTCTTTAATTAAGGGGTCTTGGAGTCCCCTAAACCCTAACCCTACAGATCCCTTATAGATCCCTTAAAGGAGCCCTAGCCATTCCCTTTTTAAGGGATATTGTGGGGTCTTGGGTTCTCTGGGAGGTTCTAACAGATTAAGGAAGGGTGCGAATTTATGCTCGGTGGGTTTTTGGAGCATGGCTGAGGAGTAGAGTAAACGGTTTAGGGTTTAGGGTTTAAACCCCATAAAGTTGGAAACCGGATTAAGGCCAAATAGTGCTGGGATTCCCTATAAATTATACTCTTCAGGATTGAGGCTGTTGGGTTTCCAACTTTTAAGCTTCTACTGTATGAGGTGCATGAAGCAAACTGAGGCACTAGCGATTCTTTAACGATTGAGTTGCCATATTTTGGGGGATCCTTTTGGCTGGTAGGTTGCACTGCGCACTTTGGGTCTGTTCGCATAATTAGGTAGGCAGGCGTGTATGTATGCATGCACGTATGCAGGTATGTAATTATCCTTTGTCTGTGTTACTAAATCCTTAAGGATATATACCTCGAACCGTCACGGCCTAGCTTGTGAACCCCGAAACCCAACACCCGGCGAGAAATCGCGAACAACTATAAAACCTCTAACCCCAACACAAAACAACAAAATAGACCCTAAACCCTAAACTCCAAACCCTAAACCCTAGACCCTGAATCCTAAACCCCAAACCCTAAACCCCAAGCCCTAAACACAGCGCGGTGGAGCACCCAAGGGTTCTCGTCAACCCATGGGTTCTCGGCCGCAGGGGGCGGCGCCCTTGCAAGGCAGCTTCGAACCCTGGAGACCCAGAGAGCCCAATACCCCCTATTTAAGGAATATGGCTTAAGTTATATATGGCTTCATATTATGATTTAAAGTAAATCCCTTAATTAAGGGGTAGTGGGCTCTCTGGGAGGGTTTAGGGTTTAGGCTCCAAGGTTTAACGGAAAAGGAACCTCTACCCCCAAACGGGTTTTAATTACCCATATAATACGAGAATGTAGGGTTTAAGCATCCCGCATAGCAATACCTGGGAGGACCCGAAACCCTACGGCCTAGGCTATGCATACTGAAGTCTGTGCAGGGGTTTTTGAAGAGCTCGAAGGGTTTTGTCGACCTCGACATCCGTGTTTGGGCGTCTCACTGTCGCCCAGCTTTACCTACCAGAACCTCTGTAAACTCTGTACTGCGGCCCAAATTTTTATTGGGACTCTACCAAAAAAATTCCAGTAGGTTAAGGTTTGGAAAATTCAGATTCCCCAGTGGCCCTGGCCGAAAGAGCCAGGGCATTACTTGAACGGTAATTAAGGTGCCTTGATAATTAGAATATGGTTTTGGTGTATATTATCTATACTGAACTTAGAACCCCAGCAAAAATGAAATTTTAGCTGTTTCTTAGGGATTATAATAAACAAACATCAAAAAGTATTTCTAAGTACCCCTAGGTTATACTTAAGGAACCCCCAAAAAACCTAGACATGTATTTAGGCCCCCATAGGGATGCAGGTGCCTGGGGCTCCAAGCCAAAGAGAGGTTTGGCACTACTTAAAGGATCATGGGACTTAGTAACTAGGGTTATACTTAAGGTAACTATACTTATAACCCCAATTAGGGTACTTATAACCTTACTTACTAAGTCCCATGATCCTCCAAGTAGGGTTTGGGGTGGTTTTAGAGGGGTTTAGGGATTGAGGGATTCGGGGTTTAGGGTTTAAGGTTTAGGGTGGTTTTGAGAAGAGTTTTCACGAAGGCATAACAAATTTCGGGCTTGAGGTTTGCGCATCAAACGTGCAGACCCTTCCCTTGGTAGGATCCTAGACTTATTCTTTGTTGCTAAGTTCATAAGCCCCAAAAAGTGTACACTCTCAGTGTTATAGTGGGTACTATTATCCAAAACAATGTAAAGTGTATCCACTCAGCTACGTTATAGACCTTAATGAATTAGCACAAGCCCGAAACTCAATCCCATCCCCACCAAACTGGAACCGCAGAGCTCATACACCTGGAGGCTTCGCGTAGGGTTACAGTTGTGGATAACTGTCGTGATGCGTAGGAATCAGGCATTTAAACATGCAAACGCCTAAACCCAAGATGAGAGCCTTAACAACTAGGACAAGGTCTTGAGGGCTTGTGAGGGGCCGCAGGGCTTTTGGCCACCGTGATCCCAAACCCCTTAGGCCCCGGTACAGTTATAGAGCCGGACACCTGGAGGAAGATGACGGTGTCGGTGCATCTGCGAAGGAACCTGCCCAATAGCATGATGAAAGCCCGCAACTCTGGGATAGGGTTTACGGTATGTGGATGAAGGTGTACGATTCAGATAAATGGGAAGATCCATCGTAAAAAGTATACGCGATGCAAGTCCTGAACCTGTTCTGGAAGAAAACCGGAGAGACCCAACCTCTTTCCTGGGCCTCTGGCCCTACCAGGAGGATGAGGGGACTCAGTAATGAAAGCCCGCATATCCTAAACTGTTCACTCTGAATCTTCAATCTGTAACAGCAACCATACAATGTAAACAGTGTTCCCTGAACCACACCCTGAGGGTCCAAAGGACCCCAAAATTGGGTACTTGGGTTCAGGATACTAGTTATGTAAGTTACTATTTTGGAGATTATATATAAATTAGGCACTTGGACCCTTAGGGACATGTCCTCTCCTACTCTCAACCCTGGACCCTCTGCCCGAATTCGTTTCTGAGCCTGGCTCAGTCTCCTTGGCTGGCTGCGGTTGGAACTTCTTTGTGCTCTCCGCGGCGCTTACCTGGTCGCTCCCGGATGCTGTTGTTGATTTTGTTGTTGTCGTGGTGGTGGTTGTCGTTAGTGTTGTTGTTGGCGGTGTTGATCTTGGTGATGCCGTTGGTGCTGGTGTTGGTGCTGGTGTTGTTGCTGCTGTCCTTCTCGTAGGAGTCGTCAATATTGCTGCTGATTGCAGGTGCGACATTATCGCGGCCCACAAACGAGATAGCAGTTGTGACATTGCCGTAGAATACTCCCAGCGAGCCCAATACCCCTTAATTAAAGAATATGGCTTAAATTACACAGGGCTTCACAGTATGATTTAAGCTCTAATCCTCAATTAAGGGGTATTGGGCTCTCTGGGCTGATCATGGTTCCAAGGGTAAAAGGAGGGACCCTTAATAAGCACCCCTAGGTATACATATACCCTGAATGTAGCTATTATAAACCCATTATATAGCCCATTATAGGGTTTAGGGGTCCCCATTAAGGGTCCCTCCTTTTCCCCTTTGAATGGTGGCACTAGCTGGGAGTTTTCGAAAATCGGGGACCTTAAAAGAAAACCCTAAATAGTAGGATCCTTATTATAAGGACCCCCAAATAAGGTACCCCTAATTGTCAGAATCTCCCAGCTCTGCTCCTCACGACTTGATGGGCTTGAAGGAGGGCAGGGGCTGCCTGAGCCCCACTACTAAAAGGGAATAGGGTTCCTTTAAGGGTTCCTTCTAAGGGATCCATAAGGATTACTATAAGGGCCGGGGGTGGTGTGTGGGTTTAGCATAAGGGCCTGAAAAATTAGAATAGGGTCTTGGGGCCCATTATACTTTAAGTCTAATGAGGGACCACCAAAGAAGTATAGGTATTTATTTACGCCCCTATAATGCGCTTTTAGATTTGTTTTAAAACCAGGTTGTTTGCGCTGAGGGCCACGCGTGGGAATTACAGGGCACTTCGTAAGTAGGTGAAAGGGCCGTAATAATTAGAACAGGGTTTCGGGGTCGCATGCAGGCAGTAGTCTGGGTCGAGTACTTCGAAAGATGCGTCGTGAATAAGGTTTCGGGGTATATCTTGCTATAGTTATAATAAGGAACCCCCAAATTGGTATAGGTAATAATTAGGAAACCTAGATTAGGTGAAGGTTGGTGTCGGGGATAATCCAGGAGCTAGGACAGATAACCTTGCTCGGCGCTGCGTTAGTGAGAGCCGGAGGCCTTTGGGTTGGGGGTTCTTGGGGTTTAGGGGTTTAGGGTTTTTTTGTTTCAAGGGTTTAGGGTTTAGGGTTTAGGGCGTAGGGTATAGAGTTTAGGGTTTCGGGTTTAGGGTTTAGGGTTTACGGGTTTAGGGGTTTAAGGTTTAGGTTTTTTTTTTATAGTTTGTTGAACTTTGACCCCACAGAAGCAGACTCTCAGTTCACCCGATTGGGTGCACCCTACAGAAAACAAAAGCCACTCACTTCTCACCCACGTGCCCATGTCACTCTTGCCAACAGCCGTGATCCCCAGAGGCACCGTCTCCCTCAGCCGACAAGGAACCACCCACACCAACGTCATCTTCCCCCTCACCATCATGATCACAATCACGTTCACCAACAGGAGGAGCAGGGCGAAGAACATGCGCTTGATCGTGTCGTACAGCTGGCCGTTGAGGTTGTAGACGCCGACGATACCATCGACCTTGGAGACGACGACGAGGATATCCATCATCAGATGGAGTTGGATCCCCTGTGATGAAGGCAAAGCTCACGGAATTGTTGTCTCGATCACGACTGCGGCTGCGTTCTCTGAGAGGGGCCTCCGTGCCACCGCGAGCTGCAAGAGAACCAGACGAAGCGGAACTCGTTGAGTGAAATGTTCGTCCATGTGGTACACTATTCGTCACCAACTCCATCAGAAGGTTAGCATCAGGAGCTACCACAATCGGTCGAGGTCGCGGAAGACGTTGACTGCGACGACCTTCACGTGCAACACGACGACGTGCATCTTGCGAAGCTCGCTGCGTAGGCAGCAAAAGATCAATTTCAGGATATTGCAACCATGGTATTGGCCTGAATCATGTAGAGTCGTTGATCCGACTCCGCAGGCCAGTCGCCAACAGGAAGGTGACGACCTTCGCGTTCATAGAGTCTGGCCACATGTACTCTCTATCCGCGACGTCGATAGCCCGCCCGCGTTGCCGGGGAAATTCCTGGGAGGGCCGTTTCCAAGGCGGCAATGTCACGGGGAAGTCCTGGCTGTAGCAGAACACATGGACTAGACAGCCAGTGGCTTGAAGGGCTACTCGGGGGCGAAGAACCAAGCCTCGCCTCCTTGGCAATTGTCCTCCAAATTTGCTGCTCATGAGTGGCCGCGTTCACAGGCGTCGTCATTGCCGCATTTACGGTCCATTGTACCCGAAGAAGACGTTGCATATGCTCCAGCCGGCGTTGGTGTGCAAGTAGTCGACGGATTAGTTCAATCACGTCCGCGAGGTTACTCTGACACAGTTCGTTGTTAACCGTGTCTCGGACATGGTCCGACGGCCAAGTCACTGAGGAAGAGCTCGTAGAGGTCGTCGTGGAAGTCCACCAGCCAGACTGCTGCATTAGCTGCGCTGCATCATGTGTCCAGAAGGGCGCCGTCAGTCGTAGTTCTGGTAGAGGACACTGCAGTCGAAGTCGCTGTCCCGGTCTCGTCAGGTTCCAGCCATATGCCACCAAGTTCGGTGAGATGGGCCGGGAGGTTGACAGGAAGGCGGCCACACGTGGGCCCCGCCTTCGGTTGTCCTGGTGGGAGGACGCGGCCTCGCTTTGGGACCTCTCGTAGTAAACTTCGCGGTCTTGACAGTACGCCCAGATTAGAAACTTGTTGTGCAGGTTCTGCTCCGCGCTCCAAGCGTTGAAGTCGGTGTGACTGCAATTTGACAGCGCGGGCGCGGGCGGTTAGTCGAAGTCGCTGTCCCGGTCTCATCAGGTTCCAGCCATATGCCACCAATTTCGGTGAGATGGGCCGGGAGGTTGACAGGAAGGCGGCCACACGTGGGCCCCGCCTTCGGTTGTCCTGGTGGGAGGAAAGGGCCTCGCTTTGGGACCTCCCGTAGTAAACTTCGCGGTCTTGACAGTACGCCCAGATTAGAAACTTGTTGTGCAGGTTCTGCTCCGCGCTCCAAGCGTTGAAGTCGGTGTGACTGCAATTTGACAGCGCGGGCGCGGGCGGTTAGTCGAAGTCGCTGTCCCGGTCTCATCAGGTTCCAGCCATATGCCACCAATTTCGGTGAGATGGGCCGGGAGGTTGACAGGAAGGCGGCCACACGTGGGCCCCGCCTTCGGTTGTCCTGGTGGGAGGAAAGGGCCTCGCTTTGGGACCTCTCGTAGTAAACTTCGCGGTCTTGACAGTACGCCCAGATTAGGAACTTGTTGTGCAGGTTCTGCTCCGCGCTCAAAGCGTTGAAGTCGGTGTGATTGCAGTTTGACAGCGCGGGCGCGGGCGGTTTAGGGTTTAGGGTTTGAAGGGTTTAGGGGGTTAGTGTTTAGGGTCCACTACATGCTACGGAGATCACGCTTATGTAGTTCCAGTGCAGGAGAACTTGAGAATTCGCAGCCAATCGTCAACAAGTTCAGATTCGTCTGATACTCACTTTCGCCTGATGCAAAACATCTGATGCAAAACATCTCATCAAAAGATCAGCCATATTGACACTGGGAAAGCAACAGCAGTAACTAATCATGATTATGCTCGGCATTGTAACACGAAGGGCACTAACCATGATCGCAATCATAATGGTATGGCAGTCTCTGTGTAGATATATTATGTTTTTACATTCATATCACGAATACCTGCTCTAACTTGTCAGAACCCTACATTGCTTGTTTTTGAGGACTATAAGAACTCAATGGAGAGCTCATGGTTCGTTGGAAGGCCTATGTTAGACTTTCAGAGCATTGAGGATGTACAAGGGGATCTGTGCAAATCTACAACACTTGGGTAGTTGTCAAAATTATGGTCCCTTTTTGAACCCTAAATATTAGGTGCCGTATTATCATCAGGACCCAAAAACGGACCATAGTTTTGACAACCGCCCACTTAGCTTGGTTTAGCTGTGGGTTGTCGGCTTTTTGGGATGCTGAGCATGGCAGGGCAGGCTTTCTAGGTGCTCGAGATGCCTGGGAATTCCGATCCCTACCCTGGACGCTCAAGATTAATCTCTTAACCCTAAACCCTAAACCCTAATTAACCCCTAAACCCCTAAGCCCTAAATCCCTAAACCCTAAACCCATCTTGCCCCTAAACATGTTCGCATCCGGGGGGGGGGAGATGCTGTCTCGGGCGCTGACACCATGGATTGTGAGGGGGCCGGCAACCTCCGCAGCCTCGGTTGGATGATGCGTAACATGGTTTAGGGTTTAGGGTCTTGAGGGTTCAGGGTTTAGGGGCTTAGGGTTTAAAGTCTGGGGTTTATTGAGCTCTTTTCCGTCAGCATCACCTCTTTGCCGTCGAAAGGTCGAGCGCTTGGGGGTTAGGATAAAAATGTTTTGGGGTGAGGTACAGGTTTAGAGATTCGGGTGTAGGTTTTAATTATGGAGTTGGGATGTTTTGGATTAAATGTCTCGGGTTCAAGGGCCTAGGAACCAAGCCATTGCGGACTGACTAAAGCTTAAGGTTTGTCAGGCTAAGTTTTGTCGGGCTCGTTCTACCGTAACAAATCTTTGTGATTTTCGAAAACTTCGATAGAGCTCCTGTGGCGTCCTCGCTTGCGGCTCGCAAGGCTTGCTTCCCACGACCGTTCATCAGCGTTCCGGGAATTCCGGCACAAACACAACATCTTTCAATAATTCCCTGATGCGTATCTTCTTGCTACGCCGACTTTTCAGCAGATCTGTTCATGCAAACAACTTCACGCATCTCTTTGGAAGAGAAGGGCACATCAAGATCGATGCTGCAGAATATTTCGAACAATCCCACTTTCAAAAGTTCATCGAGCCTGCAGCGATGTAATTACAATGGACAAGCTCACATTCTCTCTTCTGCTAACTAGACAAACGGAATCCTGAATTAATTATCTGTTGCCCAACGAAATGCCATTTCATTTCCAAACATCTGCTCGCAACACACGGCCGCAGAATCTGCGTGTTCAACATTGATGCATGAAACAAGCAAGGACTGGGAATTGGGGGTTCGGAACTAGGCGTTGCTTCAAAGACCACATTTGAGGCTCGTGCAGAAAATCCTGTGACGTTGTCATCCACCTCCATGAGTGCATCAACCTGCATGCGCAAGTGGCAGGCTGGAGCAAGACTACTAAACACACTGAGACACGACAACATCAACGAAACAAAAATGAAGCAATGGTGCAGTCATCAGCCGACACGAACAGCACCGTCGTTTGGTGCACGCAGGTCTGTCAACGAACTTACCGTCGAAAACGAACATCTATCAAGACTTAGGTGCGACCGAGAGAAACTTGATGAGTCTATTGCATTCTAATTTTGTGACGGAATATGTGTGACGGACACTACTCATGAGGTTTCAAAAAAATTCTGATGCTTAGAGTCTTCTGGCCCATGCAGAAACGTTAAAAGCGCAAGCCGCTGTCAATTTTTGCACCACAGCTGTCTAACTCATTGCGCACCGCCTAAGTGCATTGTGCAAGAGCTGAGTTTCCTAATTTTGGAGACCTTATAATAAGGGTGAAGGGTCCGAGTACTTAGGGTACTGTATTGGGGCCCCTGTTTTCGGAAACTCCCAGATGAAACTGTAGCATGGAAGTGCTTGACCAAGCACATGGCAACACGTGGCATCAAATGATGGACAGCCAGCACCTGGTCGACGCTGCAGGCAACGGGATGCGTGGTACTGGGATTGAATGCAGGCCTGCGATCTTGGGAGTGTAGTTTGGGATTCAAGCAGGGGAAGATCGACACACCCACAACTCGAGTCTAGGCCATTCAGGTCACGTGTCGCAAAGACCCTGTGCCATACATGAGTTTGCAGACTCAGATGCCATAGACTTGGGGCACCGATGCTGGGAAGAAGTCTAGAACTCATCAACGATAAATCTCTTGCTTATCTTCTGCCTTGCGACCAACAGCATGCGAACACAGGAATTGAGCAGGGACGCAGACCCCTTCAAAAACGAGAGTCCAGAATCGCTGAGACATGTCTTACACTACCCAAAAACACGATCACCGATTCCGTGGCAGCCTACCCTGTAGCCCCACCCATACAGCCAGAGAGCCCAGCACACCTTTCATCAAATGTATATCCACCATTTTTCGGGGATTGGGCACTATAGGTGAGTCCCTGATGCCCGAACTCGTTCTTTTCCTGTTCGCCCCCCTTGCCTTCCGACTGTCACATTTTTCGGGCACAAACTATACAGTAAAGGAACATTGGTCATTTTACCAAAGCCGAGTCCACTTCTGTAGAAGAGCACCCAACCGATTAAACGGCTTCCTGGCAAAACTTGCAGTTCAAGAGCTTACTCACATCATAAAGGTCCCTCAGTAATTCGAACAGAACTTGGGGAGTATACCAGTGTAGGATCATAAAGGGCACTGTGACTAGGAAGGGTGTCTGCCAGAGACGCGTTCGCTTTATCCGAAACCCGTCATGACTCATGCCACAGCCTTCTTTGCGCTGGTCCTCCACCCTCCTCATTAAACCCTAAACCCTAAACCAGCCAGCATCCATTAACAGGCCTGCAAAACCATAGTCCCCAACCTCAATGCTCTGCTCATCCCCAGAAGGACCTCAAAATATTTCAGGGCTTATAAATTAGGGTTGAGGGTTTAGGGCTCAAGGCATTTAAGCCCAACATATGTCTGACTCACGCATGTACCAAGAGCACCATACATTGTCAGCCACAGCGCTCATCCATAAACCCTAAACCCGTAAACCCTAAACCCTGAACCCCTAAACCCTAAACCCCTAAACCCTAAACCCTAAACCCCTGAACCCTAAACATCTAAACCCTAAACCCTAGACCCTTTAACTCTTCTAGCTCTTAGCTCTGCAACCCCTTGACAGCTCCACTCAGAATCCCCTAAACCCTCGCAATGACTCCATGCTCCAATCTTCAAACGACATGCTCGGTCGGAACGTTTGGGATTTGGGGAATTAGGGTTTAAGATTTAGGACTCTACCCCGGAAACCCTTAACCCCTCAGGACTCGGGATGTATAGCCCCTAACTAAGGCTATAGGCAAGACCAGTACAATCATAGTTACATATAACCCCGACTAGGGTTATTGTAACATATACCTGTTCAGCCCGACTTACTATTTGCCCTGATCTTTGGAGCGGGTTTGTAGGATTTAGCGAAAGGTTTGGTATTTTACATTGGATGGAGCTGCGGTCTGAGAAATCTCCATGCACGGGGAACAGTCTGGGATTTGGGGTTGAGGAGTAGGGGTTCAGCACTTCAGGAATTCATTTTAATAAAAGGCGCCTTAGTAACTACTGTTGATGATATAAATCCTGCATTACCTTAAGGACCCTAAACTATGGGAATTATGGTATATTCCCTAGTATGGGTCATGCAGGATTTATATCATCAACCGTAGAACAGGGTCTGGGGGGCCCTGTATAGTATACTTATACAAAGGAGCCCGGAGGACTACTTGCTTTAGGAACTGGAGGTTCGGCTTTGGATTCCCTTTCCCAGGGGCTCGTAGGGGCTTAGGGTTTTAGGGTTTGGGTGATGAGGGTTAAGAGCGGCAGATTCAGATGAAGAACCAGCGGGAGCAGCCATGATCACTCGAATTTAAGTCGGACTTCTTTTTACAGCCAACAGCGAACATATGATTGCTTAGCTGTCATGAATCCTGTTGTGCTTTGCACTAACCTATGGTTCACGCTAGCTGTAAGCATTGCCCATCCCGGGCCTGAACGCAACGGCACACTCATGCACCTGTCGGAGGTTTCAGCACTCCTCCTTGCCTGAGCGCACTTAGCTCTGGCACACATTCTCACCTTTACAGGCAGGTGCTTGCCTCTTCAGTACAACGACCGTCCGCCGTTGCTCTGGCATAGGTTACATAGCATTAATCGCCTCGGTCTTGACACATTCCTCAGTCCCCAGCAGTTCGGTAACGTGTGAAAGTGGTCGCCATTGGGGCTTACATGAACTGGTCCAGGGTGAGGGACGGGTACCGGAACATCACGATTCAGGTACTCGACAATCGGTACATAGTCTTCATTTATCACCGTCTGGGTGGATGAGTCCACCATTCGTACTCTTCGGGGTCCTGGCTGAACTGGCGACCCCAAGACTGTAGCCGGACCACGGTTCGGAGTCGACGAAGAAGAAGTGGCTTCCCTGGGTCTCCGGGGAGTCACAGGCGTAGGTTCCGCGGTAGATGCCGTCGTCGTGGGGGTGGCCTCACGCTGGGCCATCTGCGCAGCGAGTTCTCGCTGCACAGCTTCCTGGATCCCCCTCAACCTTCTTGCCGATCTCGATGACGTAGGACTTGAGCAGCATCTGTCCCAAAGCCACCACATCGCCTCCCACAATGCAATTAGAGCAATGCCAATCATCACCACGATGACATACAGCTCCACAGAACTTTCAAAGGGAAGCGGCTCCTTTTTCTGCGCTCTAGCTGTCTGCACCAGGTGGCACAGCAACATGGTGCGAACCGCCGCTGTCTTCATGATCTCAGCAGCCGTGTCCACAAAGCCCCACAGTAAAGTGAGCTCACTCAGTCGCTGCCGGGGGAAGCTCTTCGTAAGTAGATCCGCCCATTGATCTTTGCCCGGGACATATCGTACAATGACCTGGCCTTCCTCGATCTGCTCGTGAATGTAGCTCGCCCTTACCCGCAGGTGGCGGGTACGCCAGGAGGAATTCGTAGTAGGCGTCGCTATAGAGATCGCAGCTTGGTTGTCGATGCCCAGGATGATCTTCCCAAGCCCATTGTCCAACTGCCGTAGCACAACCTCCATTGACTTTGCCATTGTCAAAGCCTCAATGGAGGCCACCAACTCGCACTCCGCCGTGCTCAGACACGTGAAGGGCTGCTTGCATGCCCTCCAGCTGATCGGTGAATTCATCCACGTCAGCACAATGCCTGTGTGGCTCCTTGAACCACTCGGGGCGAAGCTGCTATCGGAAAACGCAATGAACTCGGAACCCTCTGGTTTCAAAGTCAGCGCCAGATTCTTTGAGCGCTGGAGGTAGGCTAGTAGTCGTCGTCCGATTCGTAAGCATCGAGGAGCGGCCCTCGTCAACAGAGAACCCCTAGCACTCACAACGAAGCTCACATCTGGTCTTGATCTCTGGGCCAACCACAGTAGTTCTCCACATAGCTTTTGAGCCTGTCGAACCTCCTCTGGGGAACCAGGCTCTTCGCCTTCAAATGCCTCAAAGGTCACCATTTCGCGGGGGGCCTGGATATACGACCTCTCTTCAGGGGCCACGTCGTGGAGGCGCAGGATCTCCTCTATATAGGGCAGCTGGTGGACATAAATCGCGTTCATGTCCTCGTTGGTGGACAACTCGCAGCCCAAAAACCTCACATCATGGTCTGGGGTTAGGAGATCCAAGGGTGACGTCTTCCACTTTTGACCAATCATTTTTGCTAGCGCCGTCACCAACCACAACGGTCCTGACAGTAGGATGTCGTCAACGTAAACCAGAA